ATTGGACAGTGTGCACTTTTCATTGCCCGTCAGAATTTGTTTTAAAAGTGGAACATTTACGTTTAAGTAGAGAATTGCATGTGGAAATGTGGTCAAGAAGGTTTTTGTGGTTTTTTTTTTTTTTTGCTTAACATGGAAGCCAAACATCAAAGCGGTGAATGAACATCATCAAGCTGGTGCAAATGATTTTGAACGCTTGGTATGTACATTTCGAGTATGTCGGCTCTCTCACAAGTTGTATAATGTTGATTGCTCTCAATCAATGCCTTGATTTGATCAGTATCAACACTATCTGACCTACCTGACCAGGGAGCAGCATCCTGTGTAAAACTCTGCAAACCACTTTCGACACTTTCAATCGGTCACAGCACCTTCTCCATATACTGCCCAAATCTTTTATTTTTGCATTTTTATCTTTCTTGAAATAATAATAAAACATAATGCCCCAAAAATATTGCTTTTTTTCTTCCATCTTCCATATTAAAATAGCTACACAAAAATTCACCAATTTTGGTAAGTTTCTTTTTTAAATGCATGCTGATAAGACAGCTATCACAATACAACCTAACAAAATTGTTTCAAATGAAGTTAAAAACAATTCAGTGCTCTTAGAACTAGCTTATGGGTGGGGGGTGGGGGCAGGGAGGGAATGAACAAATTTCTTGACCAACCCAATATTTCAACATATGAAAATTCATCAATGTAAAAACCATATTAACAGAATGAAGGAAAAAAACCACATAGGGAATCCCCTGGAGGTCCAGTGTGTAGGACTCTATTTTCACTGCAGAGGGCACAGGTTCAATCCCTGGTCAGGGAACAGACATCCCACAAGCCTCACAGTGCAGGGGGGGAAAAAAGATTTTTTTTCAACTGAAACAGGAAAAGCACGTGAAAAAATTCAATATCCTTTCATGATAGAACCACTCAACAAACCAGTAATAGAAGGAAATTATTTCAACTTAATAAAAGCCATATATAGGAAACTCAAAGTGAACATCATACTCAAATGACAAAAACAGCTGAAATCTCTTTTAAGATCAGGAACAAGGGAAAGAATGTCTGCTTTTACCTCTTCTAGTCAACAAAATACTGGAAGTTCTAGACAGAGCAACGGAGCAAAGAAACAATAAGTAGATAAGCTGAACTTCAGGAAAATTAAAAGCTTATGGACACTACGAACAGAGTAGAAAAGCAGCCCCTAGAGTGGGAGAAAGCATCTGCAAATCATATATCTGATGAGGGATTAACATGCAGAACATAAAAAAACTCCAACAACTCAACAACAAACAGACAAGTTAAAATATGGTCAAAGGAGTTGCACAGTCATCCCTCCAAAAAGGGTATACAAATGGCCAGTAAGCCAAAAGAGCAGCTGAAAGGAACAGGAAGATTTGAAAAAGAAGCAAAGAGAATGTCCAGAAAAATTTTAATGGAACTTAAAGTGTAATAACCTGATGAAAAGCGGATTACACATAACTGGATCAGAAATTAGTGCACATGGAAAACAGTGACGAAGGATTTAACCTCCTCTTACCCGTCTGCTGGTCTCCGCCTTCAGCACCCTGGTTTCTGCCGCATTCATTACCAGCTTCCATCGTCTCTCTCCCACCGAGGACGTCCGGCACCTGAGCTTGGCTCCCCTCTTGTCTACCCTCCACACACTGGCCAGAGTGAGTTTTCAACAACGCTATTTGCTGTGTGATTTTTAAACTTTTAAAAAATTGCTTTTACAATCAACAAATTACCCGGACGGTATGAGACTGTACAGATACGAAGGGCACGCCATTTTCCTCTCTCCTTCCTCCTTCCCCTCTCGGAGCCAGACAGTTCCTCTCCTCAGAGGCAACCACTGCCACAAGCTTTTTGTTTCTCCTTCTTGAAACACGCCACGCATGTATGAGCACAGGTAGACACACGTCGTTCGTGATGATCACTTGACATGCGGCCAGTGTGGCTGAGGTCTTGCAGTTTTCAAACAAGAGACCAGTGTTTCCCGTGTTGCTCCATTCCACTGAATATTGAAAATATTTGTGTTCGCCTTTCTGAGCAGGCTCTATGCAAGTGTCATGGTTACAGTTAAAATCATTTAGTATTTAAGGGCAAATGCCATGAAACATCACTGGTTTATGAGACTGTTGAAAGAAGTAGAAGACAATGAATACGTTTTTCTTTGCCAACACTCATTGCTTGAGTCATGGAAGGGTTTTAAGAGTCGGACACGACTGAGCGGCTGAACTGAACTGAACTGAACAGTAATGGGGCTTCCCCAGGTGGAGCTAGTGGTAAAGAACCTGCCTGCCGATGCAGTGGACAAGAGGTGCGGGTTCGATCCCCGGGTCGGGAAGATCCCATGGAGGAGGGCATGGCAACCCACTCCAGTACTCTTGCTTGGAGAATCCCCATGGACAGAGGAGCCTGGCAGGCTAGAGTCACAAACATGACTAAAGTGACTTAGCATGTGCAAACTGTACTGTTAACTCCCAAGATTTTCCTGAAACTAAAAGAACACTGAGACTTCCTTGGGGGTCCAGGGGTTAAGACTCTGCACTTCTAGTGCAGGGGTCATGGGTTCAATCCTGGTCAGAGATCTAGGATCCCACATGCCACGTGGCAATGCAAAAAAAAAAAAAAAAAATTCTCAAAAAGAATTTTAACCAGATATTCAACAATCAGAGATTTTAAATTAGTGTAAGTTTCCTCACCAATATTACACTCCTATAAACCAAGGACTTTTCAGGTGGCACTAGTGATAAAGAATCCACCCGCCAATGCAGGGGACACAAGAGACGTGGGTTCAATCCCTGAGTAGGGGAGAGCCCCTGGAGGAGGAAATGGCAACCCACTCCAGTATTCTTGCCTGGAAACTTCCATGGGCAAAGGAGCCTGGTGGACTACAATCCACGCGGCCGCCAAGGGTTGGACATGACTGAGCAACTGGGCACATTTTGAAATCTTTGTCAGAAGGACCCGGATGTGTGAATTTCTGCTTTCAGCCGTGATGTCCGGGAAGATCATTAACCACCAGTAAACAGCCAAGTGCTGTCGCTGCTTGCCTGGGTCACTTGATGCTGAGCTCATGAATGTACCCTGAGTAACCCCTGAACCAAATTGAACAGTAATGGGGCTTCCCGGGCGGCGCTAGTGGTAAAGAACCTGCCTGCCTATGCAGGAGACAGGAGGTGCGGGTTCGATCCCTGGGTGGGAAGATTCTCTGGAGGAGGGCATGGCAACCCCGCACTCATCAGCCCTGTGGTTGCCCACCACTCACTCTCCTTTCACCCACAGGACATTCTGTCTGGCTGAGTGACCTGCACTGTGTGTGCACCCGGCCCCCAGTCTCCTGCCTTGCCCGCTGCCCACTCCAGCCCTCCTCGCTCACCCCAGCCCGAAGCAACCCCCAAGAAAGCAAGGGGAACTTTCCGCCCGCCCCAACCCAAGTCCACCTTGTCTTGGAAGTTTTCGCGGTCGCCCACCCCCCTGGGCCTCCCCCAGCATGCAGTCCTGTTGTTTCTCTAGTCCCACCGGAAGTTCCTGGAGAACAAAGACCCCAGCTCTCATCTCTGCTTAATGATCGTTGACAACTCGCAGATGGGACTGAAATGTCCAAGGTGGGACTTCAGCCCCCAGAACTGGCTAATTGAAGCCGAGGATCTTTCTGGCACGCCCAGAGCATGCTGCAAAGGAAGCTCTGGGCTCCACGTAGAGAACCCTGCCAGGGCTGCATGGGGAGGGGACCAAACACGGGGTCACCCGTCCCTTTCCACACGTCTCCCCATGTAATCCTCAAAACAGCCCCCTAGTGGGAGGGCCTCTGGCCCCCACATCGCAGAGAAGGGAGCAGAAGGTGCAGGAGTCCTGCTGGTTAAACCAGCTCATCTCCGTGGGGGCTTCCCTGGTGGCTCCCCTGGTGGCTCAGCTGGTAAAGAACCCACCTGCAATGCAGGAGACTCTGGTTCGATCCCTGCATGAGGAAGATCCCCCTGAGAAGGGATAGGCTGCCCCCTCCAGTATTCTTGGGCTTCCCTGGTGGCTCAGCTGGTAAAGAATCAGCCCGCAATGCGGGAGACCTGGGTTCGATCCCTGGGTTGGGAAGATCCCCTGGAGATCCTTCTCCATGGCTACCCGTGACTCCAGTATTCTTGCCTAGAGAATTCCACCGACTGTGTAGTCCATGGGGTGGCAGAGAGTCTTTCACTCGCTCTCCGTAGGGGAGGGCAGAGGGCCCAGGACTTGGGTAGCAGCGGTCCTCGTGGCTTGTTCTTATTTGCTCAGGAGCTGAGCCCCTGTTTTCCCCTAACGCCCCAGCAGCCTTCGGAACCCCACCACACCGCCCTCCACCCACACATGAGACCCCGTGAGCCTATCGCCACCACAGATGGGACGCGATCCTTCACACCTGACGTGTTTGCTGGTGTCGGAGGCTGTCAGGCCCCGGAGACCCCCTTCCTTCTCCCTGTGGCTCCAGGGTGCAGGAGAATGGTTCAAATGACTCCTCGAGTTCTCCTGGGATTTGAGGACATCTGGATTTCTGGGAAGAATTTTCTGAAATGAGTGTCTTGGGGACGGCCTGGAGGGGCCTGAGGGGAAGGGGTAGCCCTGTTCCTGGGGGCAGGGCAGCGCCCGGGCTGGGGCCAGTCCACTGGGCCAGCGGGAGGGGATGGGAGGGCAAGGCGGGACAGCACAGGGCGGGGATGAGGAGGGAAGTCCCAGGAGGGCCATTGGCCAAGGCCGATCCCGGCTGGCGGGGAGGAGCCGCGGGGCGCTGGAGGGGACCCAGGAGGAGGTGGGAATGGGAGGAGACGGGCGCGCCGTGGGGGGAGTCTGACTGGTGCCGGGAAGAGGCCGAGGCCGCAGGGGAGACCCCGAGGCTCGGGAGAGGAGGTGAGGAGGGGAGCGCGGGGCGGGCAGAGGGCGCAGCTCCGGAGGCCGGCGTTTGTCGGCTGCACCTCGAGCCCTGTCCTGTCTTCGAGGTGATGGCCTGACACCTTTTCCCTGGGTCTCCACACCTGGGGCTTTCTGGTCCTCGGGAGGCTGCTCCCGGACAGAGTTCTCGGAGAGGGTCTGACCCTCAGGCGGCCCCCGTGAGGGGGTGAGGTGAGGGGTTGGCGGGCTGGGAGAGGAAGGCTCCGGAAAAAAGGCAAGGGAGGGAGAGTCTGCCTAAGAAGACAGCGGAGATGGGGCAGAGGAGGGACCCCCATTTTCTGAGGGAGCGTGGGGGGGGCGGGCTGAGGTGGTGGGGTCGATGGGATCAGGCTTTTTCAGCAGGGAAGGGGTTAAGCGGGCTCCTGACGCCCACTGCCCTGGGCCCCTCCCACGTGTTTACATCCTCCCCAAAATATTCAGCCTCCAGCTAGCCTCCATTCCTTCCCCCCACACCCGAGCTGTGGGCCTCGGGACCCGTGGAGCCAGAAGTCTGGGCACAGGGAGTGGGAGAGGGGGTGTTGGAGAGAAAGTGGACCAGAAAACGGGAGGAGAGCGCTGGAGTGGGCGACAGCACTGCTCCCCAGCTGCTGGTCTGAGGACTGGAGCAGACCCAGCACCTACCTCGGACAGGGCCAGCCTGGGCCGGGCCTGGGAACAGTGGGGCCGGGTGGGAGGAGAGGGACGGGCCAGGGCAATACTGGGGTATAGGGACAGGGGTCTGCAGGGCCACTCCGTGTCCCCCCACCTCTGCCCAGGGCTCACCAGACGCGGCCCCTGAGCCACAGGGCCCGGGAGTGGTGGCTCCTCCTCCGGACCCACGCACAGCCCTCCGCAGGGTCCCCGGGAGGAGGTGAAGCCATGTGGCAGCTGCTGCTCCCGCTGGCCCTGGGGCTGGGCGCCATGGGCTTGGACAGGGCGGAGCTCACGGCGGCCCAGCATCGCGGCCTGCAGGTGGCCCTCGAGGAGTTCCACAAGCATCCGCCTGTGCAGTGGACCTTCCAAGTGACCAGCGTGGACAGTGCCATGGACATGGTGAGCGCCAGCCCAGCGAGGGGAGGGTGGGGACGGGGATCAGAAGACTGGAACGTCCCCCTGCCCCGAGAGTGGGTGCAACGATGCTTGGGCCCCTGAGAGCTGCCCAGCTCTCCAGAGAGAGGCTGCCAGCCCAGCTGCCCACCCTCCCTGCCCCGGGGAGTGCTGCTGCCCGCTGGGGAGCAGGGACAGGTCAAACCCGCAACAGCCCTGCCGGCTCAGCTGGGCCGCGGGCCTTCCTCTTGTCTGTCTGCAGCTCTTCCCGGCCGGGCAGTTTGTGAAGCTGGAGTTCAAGCTCCAGCAGACGAGCTGTCGAAAGAAGGACTGGAGGAAAGCAGACTGCAAGGTCAAGCCCAACGGGGTGAGCTGATGGCAGGGGCGTGCTCAGGGCGGGAGTGGGCGCCGGCTTCACAGCTGGAGAAGCCTGAGGGTAGAGACCCTGGGCGGGGCAGCCTCCCAAGCTCTGACCTGCCTGCCTGCCTGCGCCCCTGGCGGTGACGGCTGTGGGTGGGCTGAGGGGGACAGGCAGGAAGACGGACACACAGGCTCCAGAGCGGGTCCACCCCAGGCTGTAGGTCACTGGCGGAGGGACGCCGTGGTCCCCACCCTAGGCCTGGTGAACTTCCCATTTCTCATGAGTTTTCAAGGGGACATGGCCCGGCCTGGGCTGACTCCTAAGAAGGTCTGACTGTCATCAGCCACCTTGGGGGCCAAGTCACTGCTGTGCAGGTGACCCCTGGGCCCGGAGCACAACCACCTCTGCCAACCACAAGTCCTGTTCCTGCGCTGGCTCGACAAGGCCTCGGTCACCTCCCTCTGCTGAAGGAGTGCTGGATTAGACTAGTGCTTTTCTGGACTTTTACACCAGGATCCCTGTGTTCAATTCAAATCTTGAAAGAAAACAGAAAACACAAATAAATGTAACAGATGGCAGCACAGCGGAAGCCAGGTGGGGAGAACCTGGCTGTGTCAGACACAGACAGACACACAAACACACAAACAAACACACGGTTTGAAAACTAAGTGCCGCCTACACACAGACACACACAGACACATACACACAGTTTGAAAACTGCAGGATAGTTCTGACTTCTGAAAATTCCCAGCCCAGATCTAGGTTGTGCCTGGATCCAGCTGGCCTGCCAAGGGAACGGGCCCCACTGCAGGCTGGCCCCAGGTTCCGCCTTCACAGGGCTGCAGGCCTCCCTTCACCCCTTTCCTCTCTGGCCCCCACGCCCCCTCCGCAGAGAAAGCGGAAATGCCTGGCCTGCATCAAGCTGGACTCAAAGGATCAAGTCCTGGGCCGGATGGTGCACTGTCCCATACAGACGCCGGTTCAACGGGTGAGGAGGGGGCTGGCAAGATGGGGGGAGACTGGGCCTTGGGAGAGGCCTGGATGGAGGAGTGCGGGGGGGTGAGGAGGGGCTCTGGGCCTGGCCCAGGCGCCCGGAACGGGGGCGGGGGCGGTGGGTGCTGGCAGGAACGGTGCGGCTGGAGTGGCCCTGTGCCCGCAGGAGCTGGAGGAGGCCCAGGACACCCAGTGCAGCAGGGTGGAGCATGCTGGCGAGGACCCCCACAGCTACTACCTCCCCGGGCAGTTCGCCTTCATCAAAGCCTTGTCCCCCTGAGCTGAGGCCTGGTGGGTAGGCGGCCAGGAGGGAGGGGAACGGGAGGACTGAGAGGGCGCTGGAGCTGGGCTGCGGGAGGCAGGGGGACAGGGGCTGGGAGCCTGCGAAGACCGCCTCCCTCACGCCCCGCCTGTTTCTCTTCCCTTTCCTCTAGAAGTCACCCGGCTTCCTGGAAGGAAGGGAGGTCACAAGTGAAAGCCCGCCTCCCTTCTCTGTGCCCCGGGGAGGGGCCACCCCTGACCCCTGAGCTAATAAAGCTGCACTCAGCTGAATTCTCACGCTCCCTCACATTCCCTCCCTCCCCCAGCTCGGCTGCAGCGTGGCCTGTGTGTGAGCAAAGGCCCTGGTGCTCCAGCCTCACAGAGAGGAAGCAAAGCCCCGAGGTGGTGGGGGTGGGTGGGGAGGGGGCAGGACCCAGCCGCCTGGACACCCAGAAAGCCGCAGACACCTCCTCCTTGCCCAGGGGAAGGCCAGAAGCGGGGGTGGGCATGGAGGACCCAGGCTTGCTTTCAGGGGCTCCCTCTTGGGAAAACAAGCATGCCCACGTGTACTAATACAAATTAAAACATAATTTAATAGGGATGAGCATGGGTGGGAATGGGGACAGTGGAGGTTCCTGGGAGACCCAGGAGCGAGGGACACAGCAGAGAGTCACCGGATAGGAGAACCTGGGAGGTGAATAAATGCAGCTTCCACGGCCGGCTGGCCGAGCTCAGCATCGCCCTCAGCAGCCTTTCCCGCCTTGCCCACCTGCAGCCTCAGGACCAAGCCACTTTCTTCCCCCCGAGCCTCAGGCTCATGCAGCCGGGACAGGCAGCAGCTGTGGCCAAGGAAGGGGCCAGGGACCTCCTCCCAGGCGCACTGCGTAGGTGGCAGGACAGCCTCATGCTGAGCCGGCTGCTTGGGGAGGACCCGAGGGAGATACGTCTCTGATAGACAGCTGGAGAGTTTTCCTTGAAGGGCAGCGAGCAGCAGGACAAAACCGTCCAGACAAGCATGAAGGCCACCGAGCGCCCCGGGGTGCCTTCAGAAGATGAAGGAGGTGGCAGCAGCGCCCGCGGGGCTGAGCACCCGCTCCGCCTGGGCCAGGCTGTCCCGGGCCTGGCGGTCCAGGTCGTGGCACTCCTGCAGCGTGTCCTGGAACTGGCGGCAGGCCTCCTCCAGGATGGAGCTACTGCGTGGGGGCCAGGCCTCCCAGTAGCTGGGCTCCACCCAGGGCTGGGCCTCCGCCGGCCAGGGGCCGGGAGTGCCAGGACCGGGGCGCAAGGAGCTGTCGAGGTCCCGGCACAGCTGGTAGAAGTCGCTGCCGCGCCCACTTACACGCTCGCCATCGAGGACCTTCAGGCCGGGCAGCAGCTCGCGCACTGAGGCCCAGTAGCAGGGGCTGGCACACAGCGGGTTGCTGAGCCGCGCCAAGGGGTCTCGGAGCCGCAGGCGCTCCAGACCCCGCAGCCCCGCCAGGCACTGCAGCTGCGCAGGCCCAGCCAGCAGGTTGCCTGCGGCGTTGAGATGCTGCAGGTTCTCACAGGCGGCCAGGGGCTCCAGGCCCGTCAGCCGGTTGTCAGCCACATTGAGCACGGCCAGCTGCCGCAGGGAGGCCAGCGGGCCCAGCTGGGTGAGCGCATTGCCCGACAGGTCCAGCCACTCGAGGCCCAGGCAGTCCCCAAGGCAGCCCAGGTCCACCAGCCCCAGGCCCCGCAGCTTGAGCAGCAGGATGGACTCCAGGGAGAACTCGCCCGAGCGCGCCTTGAGCAGCTGGGGCGTCACGCGCACCCCATCGGCCTCTTCCGACTTCTCGCCCCGAGACTCCATGAGACCAAGTGGGTCCGGGGGGCTGGGGGGTCGGGCAGCTGCGACGCAGGTGCTGCTGGCAGTGAGCGGGCTGCTCACCCCACGGGTCGCCCCCTCCACTCGGCCTGGGCCCAGGTTGGACACGTCTCCGGCAGCCCCACTCAAGGGCCAGCAGGTCCCTAAGGAGAGACAATCGAACAGTGAGCAGGCCTTTGAGTCCCGTGGAGCTGCAGCAGGGGATGCGTCTGTGGCCGCCCCTCCCCTACCGCCAGGCTTAGCTGCCCAGTGGGACCAGAGGACTCCAGCCCAAGGCGCAGGAGGGCCAGGAGCCCCACGACGGGAGCCGGCCAGGCACAGGCCCCCACCTGAGGGGGTCCCAGATGGAGTTCAGGCCCGACGTTACAATCCCTCCACGGTCCCCAGTGTGCACAATCTCATTCCTTTCCTTTTTTGGTAACTGCTCGTATCATGAACTGAGACATTTCTTCTCAAATCCTTTCAAGCTATTTTTGAGTAGACAACAGGCCCCCAGGATCGCCATCTCCTTTGCTTCCTTCCTGTGAATGCCCTGCCTTTTCAAACACAGTTGAGAGCACCTGGGCCTTGCCTTATTCCCTCCAAGGTGTTCTCAATTAGAGTTTTTTCACCATCAGTAGTGAACTCAAAATGGGTTTGGGGTTCCATGGGGCCCCCCCCCCGCCGGTGGCAGCTGTGGGGCTGAGTGTCCAGCCTTCAGTCCTAGACAAGGAAGCTGGGGTCGAGGGAGTGAGTGGCAGCACTGCCAGGGCCCGTGCCTTTGCTCCCCGACCCCTGTCCGACAAGACCAGCGCTTCACTCTGGCCTCAACAGAATGTCCCTTCCCGTAAGCCAGAGAGCATGGTTCCAGCCACAAACCTGACACCGTTTCCCAAGTAGGCAAAGAGGGGCTGGGGAGGGAAGGCGGAGCAGTCCAGGAAGCCGTCCTGGAGGCAGGGGCAGGGTGGCCCCGATGCTGGCTCCAGAAAAGGGGAGGGAGGGGATTTCCAGGCTGCCAGTGGCCATCGGATGGGCAGAGACCCAGGGGCCACCGCAAGCCCAGAGCCCGAGTGAGGCAGCCAAGGGGGAGGGGCACCCACCATGCCAGAGGAGCACAGAGGGGTCAGGGTTCAAGCAGAGAGGAAAATAAGCAAAGACCTCTGCTCCAAGTGGCAGCTCCCCAACCTGCAGACCGGCCAGGCCCAGGCCCAGGCCAGGCAGGGTGGTGCCCGCGGAGAACCAAGGGGCCATTCACTCCTGCTGTTTACAAAGCCCAGGGCTCCAGGGCCATGGTCAGGCTCCCAGGCTGTGTCTCCATAGCAACGCCACTTCTCATCCCCCCCCACCAAGGAAACCAGACCCAGAGCTCTTCCCACACCCCCTAGGAAGCTGGGGGGCTGCCAACACATCCCGCCTCCACCCCACCTCTGAGAAGGGGGTCCCACATCTTTAATCTTCAGCAGCCCAGCTCTACTTTCATTTCTAGCAAACTTTCTGTCTCAAAGCACTGGGGTATCTGCTAAGAAGCCTGGCTCACTCCGCGGAAGCGTCTGCCAGGGTTTGTTTGTAAACAGCGGGGCGACGCGATCACCACCGCGTCAGGTTAAACCTGATCTGGCCCACAGGGTGGGGGGCATGTGAGGGGCACTGGACCTGCCATAAACACAGGAGCCAGGGACCGGGACCCCGCAGCAGACAGCGAGCCACGGGGAGGAGGGAGCATGTGGCCTCGGAACCTGGCCACGCGACCAGATGCCAGGCTCCGTTTCAGGCCCGTGGGTGCAGAAAGGATGAGATGCAGGGTGCCCGGAGCGCCAGCCTCAGGAGGCAGGCTTGAGTCCAGGCAGACGGGGTCCAGGTGCCGCCTGGGTCAAGGTGTTGCTTCTGCCATGTGCCCGTCTCCCACCCACGAGAGGACAGGAGTGATCCCCCCATTTGGGGGAGCAAACTGCCCCTGGTGGGGCATCTCCGCTCCAGAGCCCGAGCCCCCGGGCTCAGGACCCTCCAGCCTCTCACCCCCTCCTTCCGCTCACCTCCTCATACACCCCCTGCCGCTCCGGTCCAGGTTTCCCCTCTTTGGAGTGTGGAGGAGCCGCTGGGGGTGACGCCACACCGCAAGGGTGCCTCTCCCGAGAGCTGACCGGGGGATGGCGGCACCAACCAATATACATGGCCTCCAGGACAGCCCCTCCGCCCCCCGCCCCCCGCCCCACACACATGCCTTTCAGCAGTGGCAAAGAAGGTGCCACCTGAGCACAGAGTGCAGGTGACTTCAGGTCACGCTGTTGCAATCACTGAACACAAGCTGCATAAGGCTTTCTTCAAGAAGGTGCCACGGGACCCTGCTCAAATGAACACACAGCAGACTGCCTAGTATACAGGCTTACCATCTCAAGGAAAAGAGTTCACGGAGGCTGCTGAGCAAAAAAACGATTATGGTGAATTTCCCCTGCTGCCTGTCGTTCTCAGTAACTTTGAGTGGTAACTCCGAAAAAGCCGCCCTCCAGGGCCGGCAGAGACGACACAGACCAGCTGCGTGTGGGCCTCCCTACCCGTTGACACTTTAAGGGGCACCTCAGCCATACACCGGGCGGGACGGCTCGAGTCACTGAGGAACACAGCCCACCTTTCCACGCACACACCAGCAGTAATGCAAGCAGTGGGCAGATAGAAAATGGCTTCTCCCTGAATACAAAACTGGCAACCCGGCTGGAACTGAGAACCATCCTCATTCTTCTCAAACAGGCTCCAGGGTCTGGCCGACCCTGTGTGCCGCCCTAGGACGGGACGCTCTGCCCACTCATCTAGGCAGCTGTCCCCCAGGCAGCTCTCTGGGGCTTCCCAGCGCTCAGACTCCCGGCTCTGACCCTCCCGGGCCAGGTCCCTGCGCGGGAAGAAGACGGGTGAGGGGCATGTAGCTGGGGAAACGCTCCAGGTTGGTCTTCAGGGCTGGCCAGACGTCCCACCGCTTCTCCCAGCAAGCCAAGGGGTCCTCCTGGGCACCCACTGTCTCATTCTCACACAGGTGCCTCTTGACAATGATGCTGGCCAGGTGGCTCTCCGCGGAGAGGGAGGCGCCGCTCCATTCAGAGGCTAGCAGCCCCACGCTCTCCAGCCGCTCCAACGGGCTCTTCTCACTCTGGCCCAGCAGCAAGGACGTGGAGGAGGGGGTCCGGCTTCTCTGCACGGGCTCCCCCAGGCCCTTCCCTTCTTCCCGGGGCTGGGGGCTCCTCTGTTGCTCAGGGTGGCCTCCGCCCACTCAGCCTTGGGGCCCTGTAGGGAAGGGGAGGGCGGTGCGGGCTCTTCAGACAGCACGAGCTCCTTCACCTTGAATGCGAGAGCCTGCCTCCAGTGGAGGTCGGCCCCCTCGGGAAGGATGGCCTCGATCCTGCCCCTGAAGCGGGGGGGTCCAGCAGGGTCCTCGCGGTGGAAAAGCCCGGGTGAGCTGGCGGTCCGTGGAGAGCTGCAGGGGCCGGGCCCTAGGTCATCTCTCGGGCGCTCCGCTCCAGGGAGAGGTGAGGGTAGCGCAGCTGGGGCTGCACCAGGCCGAACGCGGCCCAGGCGGCGCGCGCCTCCTCGGCCACCATCGGAAGGGCCATGGGCGCATAACTGGGCTGTAGATCAGGTTCCAGGAGGCGGCCCCCGCCTTGCCCAGCCGCTGTTTCTCCTCGTAAACTCGCGCGATGGCCGCTGCTGCGCCAACCAGTCACTCCGGCTGGCGGTGCGCGGACACCCGGTGGTCGGCGGATGTTTCTCAGCCCGGCTGCGGGGAGCCGGCCCAAGAGCCACAGGCCGAGCTGTTCCCAACCGCTGTCCCCGCAGCCTGTCCTCCGGAGCGCGGCCCAGGGGCAGGCCGGGACCCCGAGCGCCACCTGACTCCTCGGGCTCCCCGAGGCCCCCTGCCGGCCCCCCAGTGGGCGCTGACGCCCAAGGAGTCCATGTTCTTGGCCCGGCTGCCACGGAGACAGAGGCAGACGCGGCCGCCCTTGGCCCCGCACCTGGTCGCCCATCTCCTCGTGGAGCAGGGGCTCGGCTTTGTGAGAGAAGAAGGCTGGAGGCAGGAGGCGATAGCAAGGTCCCCCTGGTCCACAAACCTCCCGAAAGGGCGGAGACGAGACAAAGGAGAGCGGCAGGGCCAGGCTGCAGAGGAGCTCGGCGGTGCTGTGGTTACAGGTCCCGGCTTGGGGCTGCTGGGGGGCATGCATGCCACCTCGGTCCTGCCTGACCGCCTCGTCGGGGGAGCGGCAGGGTCATCTCTGTGGGGAGCAGGTGGGGGAGGCCCACACAGAACCACATGTCCGTCTCTGTCTTCCAGAGGTGAGGCATCAGGCGCTGGCATTGTGACAGCGGCCCTCAGGGAAACAGCGGCTGGTCCACTGATGGCAGGCCCTTCTGCTGCTTCTCAGGCGGCCCTCCCCGCTGCCCCCCTGCCTCCATCCCCATGCTTCCCTGCCAAGTGACGGGGCTGACGCGAGCACTTGGGCTGCCCCTTCACTTTGCCAGGCCTGACGCTCAACTGGCATGGGTGCTTGTGACCTGGCAGATGTTCCTGCAATTTGACAGTAAAGAAGCGCCTCACGTCGGGCGGGGGCCGCTGACCCGGGGTGTCTAGGGGGCCCGGGTGCCCAGCCTTGGCCTTGGCCTCGGCCTGCGCGGTTCTCCCCGGCTTCTGCAGGCAGAGCAGCTTCGGGGCCGGGTGGCTGCTTGCCTGCACCAGGAAGCAAGTGTCTCCTCTTCCGTTTCTTGAGGTAACGCACCTCTCTGGCCAGACGGGCTACAAGGATGCTGGCCAGCCTCACCTCCTCACACTCGCTGGGCTAGCCTGCCTCCAACCTGTCCAGGGCTGAGTACCGGGCCCCCCGCCTCGCGCCGTCCACGGGCCTTCGGCCTGGACACCTTCTTCCCAGGCTGCACAGGGCACTCCTGCCCCAGAGCAGACAGGCTGCGGGGCCAGAGTCTCTCCTGCCCAGGGTGGGCATGACAACCTGCAGAGGGGGCAGCCGAGCCAGGCCTCCCCAGGCAGCGGGCCCCTGTCTTCTCACTGAGGACACCCAGGCCCAGGAGACCTCCCTCCTGCACCTCCAGAAAGCCTGGTCAGGCGCGGAGACCCACGGGCTGCTGGGCAGGGGCGGGCTCTCTTCCTCTGCTGGGGAGGGTCCCTCCCACCCTCCCACCCTCCCACCCGTCTTCTGGACGCTGGAGCTTCTGGTCTTCCAGGGGCGACTTCTCCTCTACATCTGCAAACTCAAGCTGACCTCAGTCTCCGGCAGGCACTGCCTGGCACCCTGGCCGAGTCCACAAGGGGCGCTGGTAGCTCTGGCATTGGACTCGGAGCCGGGAGGAGCCCGTGGTGGGTGGGGTCGTGGGTATAGTCCTGGAGGAGTCAGCACGCATGGGGGGGGCTCTTGCCCCATGAATCCTGAGGGCGCCTGCTTCTTGTGGGGCCTTCTGACATCCTGGGCTCTTGGGGCAGTGAGAACACAGGCCCAGGCTGTACGGCAAGCGGAAGAGAACGGCTCTCGCCTAGTGGGCTCTCGACCGTGGGCACCACGCGGGGGGAAGTGAGGCCAGAGGTGGGGAGAAGGGAGCGCCGGAGGACCCGAGGAGTCGTGACCACCGGAGGCCAATCCCAGGGCAGAGCTCGCCAGACCCCACCCTCCTTGGCAAGCGAGGCCTGACGTTCACCCGTCCGGATCCAGCAGAACGGTGGCCCTTGAGTGGTGTCTGTCCATCTTCTTTGCCATGCTAACACTGTTTCTTTTTTTTTCAGTGTTTATCCAGAATCTAATAGGCACTTGACAATGTTCCTGTGTGCTGGATACAGTATAGAGTAGGCAAGGCTCCTGCATGCAGGTGGCCCCCAGGCTGGCGGGAGAGGCAGACGCGAATGAAACTCTTACTCGCACGACGTGAAGAGGAGAGCCCCAGTGCGGGGCATATGGGGGCACCGCGGGGCCGTGGGACCCCGGGGGGCTGACCTCACCACGACGTAGGGCTCCAAGGCGCCAGGCAGGTTTCCCGGGGAGAGCCGCGGGTGCCCGCACTGTCAGTGAGGCCGTGGGAGCAGAAGGGGCCAGGCTCAGTATCCTGGGCACCTGCGAGGCCCGGGAAAACAGGGGCATCACTCAGTCCTGCGGAGCAAAGCAGCCTGAGGCTTCCCAAGCCTCCACCAGGGCCAAACGATGGGGCAGCTCCTGACGCTGGCGACTCAGGCCTCCAGCATCTCCTCCCCTCGGAGCCCGCTCTGCTCTGAGTCCGGCCCCCACTTCTCCCTGGAGCTGCCCCCCACCGACCCCAAGGCCCCCAGTGACTCCGATTTCTCTGCACCAGCCCCACCCGCCCCATCCTCTCGGCCCTGGAAAGCACAGTCTCCTTGGCTTCCTGTCACCGGAGACTCCTTCCCAGCCTCTGCCCTGCTCCTTTTCCTCTGCCCAGCCCTTAATGTCATTTCCTAGTCTCTCCTACCACGCCCTCCCCGACTGGGTCCCTCCACACCACTGAGCGAGTGAGCGCTGCAACCCCCAACCCCGCCTGGCTCACGACCCCCTTGTGGGCTGCCCCTCGCCCACTCTGCCTGCAGTCAGCTCAAGCCAGGGCAGAGACTCCAGTTCACCCAGATGCTCAGACCCCACACCCAGGCACCATCCTCAACACGTCCCCCGCCCTCCCCCCATTGGTTTTCCTGGATATGAGATCAAATTCAGGGCTGCTCTCAAAAGAAAAGAGACACAAAGAAGTCAGAGACAAAATATGCAGAAAGGAGAAAAGAAAATAAGAGGGAAGGTAAAAGGCCAGTGAGTGAGGATGCGTCTCCCGGGGAAAGAGAAGGTTCAGAGGAGAACAGCGGATCCCGTCCCGGGCACCTGAGAAGAAGCGTGCGTCCCTCCAGCCCAGAGCGAGACGCAGGTTAACCGAGGAGATTAAGCCAGGATGTTCTGACTTGGTAACGTGAAACGTTCAGAAGGGCCGCCAGGGATGGCAGGACAGCCTTCACTGGGGACGAGCCCGCTCGGCAGCTCAAGGGAGGTTCGGCCGTGAAAACAGGTGGACGACACCGAGGCGCCTGTCCAGCCGGAGAGGCCTCAGGAGAACCGAAAGGAAACCACCCCAGCCCATCACTCGACAGCCAAGTCAGCCACCACCATGCCAGGCGCCTGGAGCCCACTGGAGGGGACGCCGCAGAGGGGCCGGGTCAAGGCACAGATGAAGGGCAGGCACTGTCCTCGTCCAGAGGAAGGGCTCTAGATGTCAGAACAAGACAGACTCACCTCTGCTCTAATTTTGATTGAAGAAACGGAAACCCAGAGCAGAAACATGATGCTCCGTGGCACAGCAGAGGACCGGAGCAGTCCGTCGGCTTCGTCACTCCCAAGAACGCAGAACAGGGTACCGAAGGCGGGCCTGTGTCCCACCTGCTCTCACGGATGAGGGCAGAGAAAAGGATAACACTTGTGAGTCGGGCTGCAGCCCAGCGCACACCCCAAAGCCTTCACCGGAGGGCCCTAGTGGACCCCAGGGCACCAATCCTGTTCTGTCCCCGACCAGCCTCATCCCACCGGTCTGTCTGTATTCTGTGGACACCTCTGACCCATTTGACCATTTAGCAAAAACTCATCAAATATCTACTGTGAGCCAGCACTGTGCCCTAAACATACACATACGGGAGAGGAACTGTCGGCTGGCACGCGGGGCTCAGGACGGCAAGACAACTTGGAAACAGCGATGCAAACGGGCGGGCGCTACAGAGCCTGGGCGGGCTGACCAAGAGGCACAGCAAGCCTGTGACACTGGAGTTTAGTGCTGTCTCTGACGGGTGGCTCCCCTTGGGCTACTGCTTGAGGAACCCTGTCTCCTGACAGAGCCCTGGGCAGGTCCGGAACCTGGGGCGATGGGCAGCACCCACAGTAAAACCCCTCTTTCTCTCCACCGAAGCACATGACCCATTTGACCATTTAGCAAAAACTCATCAAATATCTACTGTGAGCCAGCACTGTGCCCTAAACATACACATACGGGAGAGGAACTGTCGGCTGGCACGCGGGGCTCAGGACGGCAAGACAACTTGGAAACAGCGATGCAAACGGGCGGGCGCTACAGAGCCTGGGCGGGCTGACCAAGAGGCACAGCAAGCCTGTGACACTGGAGTTTAGTGCTGTCTCTGACGGGTGGCTCCCCTTGGGCTACTGCTTGAGGAACCCTGTCTCCTGACAGAGCCCTGGGCAGGTCTGGAACCTGGGGCGATGGGCAGCACCCACAGTAAAACCCCCCTTTCTCTCCACCAAAGCACAGCAGGATGAGAGCGAGGTGGGCGTTGCGAAAGTTGGCCTCGACTCTACACGAATCCAAAGTGTGACATTTAAAAAAAAAAAGTAACCCACAAACTCCAGGACTTTGGTTATTAGTGAGAGGTTGTTTGTGACACGTCTCATAACAGCTGACACACACACCTGGGAGGACGATGACAAGGTGGACGGTCTGGGGCTGGACTGGGGAGGGGGAGAGGGAACCCACGGAGGCAGGCCTGGCCCTGGGAAGCAAATGGGGGGCAGGGGGCAGGAGAGGAGGAGCAGGTAATGGAGGCAGGACTGCAGGTGAAGGGGCAGTGTGGAGAGAATGCGGGGGGCAGGTGTGCTTGGGCTGCCGTGAGGAGGAGCGCCTACCCAGTGGTCCTCTCCACTATCCCAGATCAGTTACAGATGTGGCGATTTTATGGTCTTCTGGAACAAGTCTTCAGGAGTAGACCTGACAGGTACTGAGCTAAAGATGCAGATCCATGGAAAAGTCTCCATAGAAACGGAGGGAAAACACTGGCAGGAGAAGAGAGGGGAGGGTGGTTGCCCAGGCAACACAGACACTGTGGGGAGGGTAGAGGAGAAGGTGCCCACGGGCAGAGGGCAGAGAAACACCTAAGTGATGTTAGGGAGGGCCAAGGGAAGCCCTTCCAGAAAGGACAGACAGGGTCACTTCAGTGGGATGAAGCAGCTGGAGCCCCAGGCTATGCTCTGAGAAGCAGGGAGTACAGGCGCTTGCAGTGTCAAAGGGTTGGGAGGGGAAAGGCTTAGCTCCATCTCAAAACAGAGCAAAGGAGCAGTGGGAAGACAGGGAAGACTGATGGCAGAAACCTCCAGAGGGCGTGGCTCAAGGCACAGGTGCATGGCATGGGGTCGGGGGGAGGTGGAAGGGGTCATCCTCAGAGACGAGAAAGAATCTATTTTTTCCCCCTGTCACAGCAAAGAAAGACGCTGTGGTGGCAGGCAAGTCCTTGAGTGACGGCAGGGGGAGGACCCAGGCAGTTTATGCCCAGGAGCCTACAGACTCCCAAGGGGAGGCCGTATACTCAGCGAGGCAGCAACCTGCTGGCTGAGCCTGAGGCGGGTGGGGCCTCAGCACTTAACACAGGCGCTGGCTCCACGGATCAGAGGCTTCCTCACCACCCTCACCAGGGGCTTCCCAGGTGGCTCGGGGGTAAAGCATCCACCTGTCCAGGCAGGAGACGTGGGTTCGATCCCTGGGTCGGGAAGATCCCCTGGAGAAGGAAATGGCAATCCACTCCAGTATTCCTGCCCGGACAATCCCACAGACAGAGGAGCCTGTTGGTCTATAGTCATGGGGCCGCAAAGAGTCGGACATGCCTTAGCACCTCAACAACAACTCTTACCAGGCCTTTTCCCATGCGCAGGCCCAGAAGGAAAGGGGCCACTTTTCTATTTCTCCTAGGCCTGCCTCACCCCAGTGCCTCGTTTGCAATTCAGGCTACCCTGGGCTTTCAGGAACTATGGCACAGGGACGTTTTCACCCTGCTCAGTCACTAGCCCCCACCTCTCTCAGCCCCTGAACTGGGGTGGGGGGTCAGTGGTGCCTGTCCATCCCCCCCGCCCTTCACGCCCTGACCTGCAAGGGACTTCAAAGCACTGGATGAGCCTTCACATCCTGGGCTTCTCATTCCCCAACCCACTCAAGCTAGTAGGAGACATTAGATGGTGAAGAAGAGGATGGGACTAGAGGAACACGTGGATGTAAAAGCCTAGAGCAAACCACTGTACATTTCAGGCTTTGGTCCCATGTGCACACTTGTCTGCACGCAAACCCTAAAGGAGAGGTTTGAAACAAACATGCATCATTAGATTTCGCCATATGCAAAACCTGACACAAAATGAGGTGCTTTAAACTACACACACTTGGCTCTTTTCTGCGAGGCTGCTCTCCATAGTGGATTGAGAGCATCAAGTTCCAGAGCCAGTCTATAGGGGCTTAAATCCTGCCTGTGAGCGAACAGCTGTGTGTTCGTCCCGCTACTGAGCCTCGGTTTCCCGTTTACACAACAGGGAGAACAGCAGGTGCCTCCCTGGCTCGTTAAGGATTAGTGGCGTTCAGTTCAGTTCTGTTCAGTCGTGTGCGACTCTGCGACCCCATGAACGCCAGGCCTCCCTGTCCATCACCAACTCCGGGAGTTTACCCAAACTCATGTTCATCAAGTCGGTGATGCCATCCAACCATCTCACCCCTTCTCCTCCAGCCCTCAATCTTTCCCAGCATCAGGGTCTTTTCCAATGAGTCAGCTCTTCGCATCAAGGTATTGAGCGGCAGTTCCAGGCACAGACTGTCTGATGGACACGAGCCCGCTGTTCGGCGCTGGCAGTGAAGACAGGGGAGACCGGGCCGCCCGCTGGGCCGAGATCAGGACAAGCCACCTCGGCCCCTGGAATCCGGGAACCGCCGCGCCCGCTCCCCGCCTTACCTACTGCCCAGGGTCAGGCCGGCCGGCGGGGCCGACGGAGACGGGACGCCCGCGCCGCTCCCCCGGCAACTGGCCGCGCCCTGGGGCGGGGAGCAGAGCGCCGCCTCCCGACCCCTCACGCAGCGCAGGCCCGGGACCTACCACAGGAGGCGCCCAGGGCCCGGCAGAGCCAAGGGGGAGGAGTCCAGGTTCCGGGACGGACTTCCGGGAGCTACAACCCAAAGGATCCTCCGCGCCCACCACTGTCCCGAGGTTCGAACGTTCCTCCTGCCGGCAGTCAGCGCGGAGTGCGCAGGCGCGGCGGGCGCCGGCTGGAAACGGCGGAGTCTCGCCGGCTCCTCCGCACGAAGTCGCTCACTGCTTTTCCCAGATAGAGTTTGTTCTAGTGTAAGGGTGCTAGTTTGGAGGATCGGAAAGGGACTTGTTTGTTTATAATCGTTCTAGTTTAGCTCTATGGTCTTGGAAGAAGCGCTATGCGCTTCGGGCCGATGGCGACCAAGCCTTCCTTTTCCACTGGCAGATCCCCAGGGTCCCTTCCTCCTCGGGGCCTTTAACCCGCCTGAACTTGACTTTTGTGCATGATTTGAGACGGGGAGTTCATCCGACCTTTTTTTCATTTAGAGAGCTGATCCTCCTGCAGTGTGTATTGCTTCCTCGCTGATTAGTTCTGCCCACCCTTCATAGGGATCTATTCGTAGGCTCTATATTCTAATGCATTTCTATTCTATACTAATAGTCTCTCCCTGCAGAAATACATTTCTGGTTTTTTAAGATATGATTTAGATACAATCAATGTCCCAATTTTAAGTGTACATTGCAGTGGATTTTGACATTTTTTCACTGCAGAACCACCTTCACAATCAAGGTATAGGATATTTCTATCCACACACACATCCAGTAATGATAAAGTAATAAACCACTTCACCTTTTCTCAATTAACCTCCCACCCTGTGCCCCCAGGTAACAGCTAATATGCCATTTGTCATGAAAGACTAGGTTTACATTTCCTAATAAAATATATAATAAATAATAAAGATGGCACTCTACACTATGCAGTCTTTTATGTATAGCCTCTTTGGCTTAATACAATGTTTCTGGGATTCAGTCATGCTGATGTATAAATCAGGAACTCATTCATTTTTACTTCTGAGTAGAATTCCTTTATATGAATGTAGCATAATTTGTTTACCCATTTACCCTGTTGACGACTTGGATTCTTTTCAATTCTAGGCTATCACAAATAAAACTGCTATGAACATACCTGTCTGTGTGAGGGCAGAGGTTTTCATTTATCTTTGGTAAGATAGGAGTGACCATGGTGGGGTATATGGTAAATCATGCTTAACTCTGTAAGAAACTGCCAAACTATTCTCCAAATTGTTTGTGCCATTTTATATTCCTAGGAACAATGTTCAAATTGCCTCCAAATCCTTCCCTCCAACACTTTATTGTCAGCTTGTTCATTTTAGTCATTGGCATTCCCAGGTGAATAATAACATTGGTTACATTTTCAGGTGCTTATTTGCCATTTATACATCTTCTTTTGTGAAGTGTGGTTGCAAATTATTTGCCTACTCTAAAAAATTGGCCTTCTCTTACTGTTGAATTCTTTATATATTTATATTTGGCTCAGTTCATTATATATTCTGTATATATGCACTGCAGATGTTTTTCTCCAAACTTTCTTAACAATGTTTCGAAGACCAGTAGTAGAGATGGCACTGTCTGATCTCACCACCATCACCCCCACACAGAGGAACCAGAGATCAAATTGCCAACATCCGTTGGATCATTGAAAAAGATGACAATATACAGCCTTGACATACTCCTTTCCCAATTTGGAACCAATCCATTTTTCCCTTGTCGGTTCTAACTGTTGCTTCTTGACCTGCATACAGGTTTTGCAGGAGGCAGGTAAGGTGGTCTGGTATTCCTATCTCTTTAAGAGTTTTCCACAGTTTGTTGTGATCCACATAGTCAAAGGCTTTAGCATAGTCAGTGAAGCAGAATTAGATGTTTTTCTGGAATTCTCTTGCTTTTTCTATGATCCAGTGGATGCTGGCAATTTGATCTCTGGTTCCTCTGCCTTTTCTAAATCCAGCTTCAACATCTGGAAGTTCTTGGTTCACATACTGTTGAAGCCTAGCTTGAAGGATTTTGAGCACTGCATTGCTAGCCTGTGAAATGAGTGCAATTATGTGGTAGTTTGAACATTCTTTGGCATTGCCCTTCTTTGGGATTGGAATGAAAACTGACCTTTCCAGTCCTATGGCCACTGCTGAGGTTTCCAAATTTGCTGGCATATTGAGCGCAACACTTTCACAGCATCAACTTTAAGGATTTGAAATAGCTCAGCTGGAATTCCATCCCCTCCACTAGCTTTGCTCCTAGTGATGCTTCCTAAGGCCCACTTGACTTCGTACTCCAGGATGCCTGACTCTAGGTGAGTGATCGCACCATCGTGGTGATCCAGGTCACTATGATCTTTTCTTTTGCACAGTTCTTCTGTGTATGTCATGGGTTGCAAATCATTTCTCTTGTCTGTCATTCATCTTTTTTCTTCAAGTTGTTCTTTTTGCTTTGCAGAAAATCTAAATTTTAATTAAAATTTATCCATTTTATCTTCATCACTGCTGGATTTCTTTTTTTCCCCTCTTATTTAGACCTTTCCCATTAGGAGGTAATTTTTTTAAATTCCCCTGTGTTTTCTACTGGTACATTTATAGTTTCATTTACATTTGTTAAATCTCTGACCCAGTCGGTAGTAATTTTGTTGCCAGGAGGGAGAGGATCCCCACACTGCTTATTGCCTTTGCTCATCTTCCCCTCACAGATTTGCTTTGCATGTTATCAATTGGAGTTAACTTCTAGACTCTTCTTTTCTTCTATAAGACTTGTCTATTCATGTGCTAACACCATTGTTTTCATTTCTGTAGCCTCTCATGTTGTGACTTCATAATACTTTTAAATATCTGGGAGGGTTAGTGTTCTTGTCAATATTCTGCTTTTTAAGAAGTCTCCTGATTGTTTCTTAAACATTTATTTTCCCCAAGAACTTTACATTCAGCAGGTCTAGTCTAGTACCCATTCCCTCTTCATCCCCACACCCCCAAAGCATGAGTGCTTTTATCGAGAAGACAGTCCATTTATAGACTACGTTAAGGACGTTTAACACAAAGCACAGAAATACAGCTGCATAAACAAGCTCTGGGTAATTTTTGTGGCACGTATTTCCCAGGTCCTATCTCACACGTCAAAGCACTCAGAGTACTCGCCACTTTCTGCTCCACAAGGTGGATCGGTGTAGAGTCCGTGATGGGAATAAGAAAAGGTGAAGGAAGCTGAGATCCTGGCAGAATGAAGGGAACCATGAAAGCAGAGTTACTGTGTAAAAGTCACATGATTGGTTAATGGCATTTATTGAGGAGGCAGGCACTACTAACCCATTTCTCACAGTCCCAACCTCCACAAGGCAGGCACTAGTAGTATTATACCAACTGGGTGATAAAACCGAAGCTCAGATTAAATAACTTTCACTCAACTAATTATGGGAGAAGCTGGACTTTGAACTCAGGCAGCCCAGTTCTGATTCTGTATCTCAACTCAAAGCTGAGCTGCTCAGTCGAGGTGAATGGCCTCTGGGAGGCTGAGCAGACAGAAAAAAAGAGAAAACTTTGTTTGCCGAATCAATCGCTGCAGACCAAGGGCACAGCCATTGCCCCTGGTATCAGAAGGCTGCAGGCTATGCCATGATCCTGTCGCCGCAAAACCAGAAATGAGTGAACAGCCTTTGGCACATGCCGGCCAAACAGGCCTACGAAAGTTAAACAGCCTTGGGTATTCTTTAGTTGTTACCACTAACAGACACTTGTAGCTGGACTTGTCCTTCACCAAGCTAATTACTCTCTGACTCCATATAGATTACACCCTGCACCTGGCATTCTTCTCCCNCCCCCCCCCCCCCCATATATTCTCTTGTAGCATCCTGCATTTCAGAAAGAAGGTCACAGGCCGATAACTTCAGGGACACCAGACCCAGCTACTGAGTTGCCTGATGGCAGCTGTAGTCACTCTGAAACTTTGCAAGAGAAAAAAAAGATGCAAGACCTTCAAGAGGATATAAATCCTCTCTCTACTCCCAAGAGAGGGGGACACTGCTCTTCAGGTGCTGGCCTGCTACACATCCCTTTTTCCTGACAAAAAATAATAAAGCTACTTTTTTTTCAATTTCCCCCGAACTCTGTCTCCATGTTTCCATTCGGCATTGGTGGACAGGGAGCCCAGACTTTGGCAACGGTCCTTGTGGCCCCATGCTTCCGTTGTACAAGACGGGGAGTGGTCAGGTGCAGAGGATCACTCACTGATGTCTCCCGGGTCTTTGTCAGGGAAGGAATGCTGACCTTTACTGCAGGGGGAAGGCCTTGCTGCTATCACAGCCCTTAATCCCCAGATCAGGGAGCTGAGGTGGGGACTGTATGGGTTTCTGAGGATATCCACCCTAACCCTTTTCTAAGCAGATGCCTGCAGGGTGAGCCAAAGTTCAGCTGGGCTTGTGTGACACCCCCTCCCTCTCCTGGCCTTTGCTGGACCNCTTTACTGCAGGGGGAAGGCCTTGCTGCTATCACAGCCCTTAATCCCCAGATCAGGGAGCTGAGGTGGGGACTGTATGGGTTTCTGAGGATATCCACCCTAACCCTTTTCTAAGCAGATGCCTGCAGGGTGAGCCAAAGTTCAGCTGGGCTTGTGTGACACCCCCTCCCTCTCCTGGCCTTTGCTGGACCACATGGCACTGGGATTAGAGTCCACTCAGACACCCCATAATCCCCGAAGGCTTTGGTGCTTCTGAAACTGCTAAATGGCGTTTGCAGGGGCTCCACGGAGCTCTGGCTCTTTATGTCTCAGCGCAGAAATACCACTGCATGATTCCAAAGCTCGGGTCCTAAGACCTGTGTGGGCCTGCCTAAGAACAACCCAGAGTGCTCGGATTAAATGTCTGGGATCCTCGCTCCAGCCCTGGAGATCCTGTCGTGATGGGCCTGGCTTTAGTCCCAGAGTTCTATGGGTCTGTTTGTTCTGGGTGATTCTCACCCAGGTTCATTACACGGAGTGTAGGCTGAGCTAGCGCAGACTTTGGTCACCAGCCCTCACCCTTCTGGCTCCAAGTCAAGCAGAACTGCAGTGGCTGCCAACTCACTCCATTCCTGGAAACCCCGAGGCTTATAAACAAAGGTCACGCCCCGCACGTGACCTTGGAGGTTCTCAGGAGTGGACAGCAAGCACCCCCACTTGATTTCTCTGCTCTTCGCATTCCCAGTGTTATCTGCACACTGATTTTTTGTTCAAAGCAACCCAAAGGCCCTCATCAAGGCCTTGCTCTAGGTGTTCCATCAGAGAGGGCGGTCCTGCAGCCTGCAGAAACAGACACCTTCATCCTCTCCATTGAGAAGCTGGGCCAGTGGGTGTCCCTACCATAGACTGGAATGTGCCAGGTCTCAGGACGTTGAGGTCGGGATCAGTCACGGAAGATCGTTGGGAAGCCTGGCCTCACAAAAGCATCCAGTTGTCAAGGTCCCTTAGTTCTCTGCCCTTTGGATTTCCCCAGCAAAACCTGGATGTTGCGGTTACACATCCTTCAGTGACATTTCATCCAGGCTCTGGTACCGCCTGGAAAATCTTCCCTGTTCGCTATAACCGCTACACCCTCTAACATCAGTACAGCGCATTGCACCCCCAAGGACAGCATAACCTGATCTGAGGTCTCCATCCTTTGGGCAGCACCGCCCTCTGCTGGCTAGCCTCTGTGCGTGCAGCTGAACTAAGCTTTGCCACTAGGTGCGTGCTGGGGGCGTCCCACCCTCGCCCACTGCCCATTTTCAGAGATCTTTTGGTTCACGTAGTGACTATCTGTGTCAGAGGCAGTCATTTACTGATTCCCATCCCACTTGGCAAGGGAAGGGGGGTGGGGGTCAACTTCCTGCTTGAAACAAACAACAAGCCGGTCCACACCCAGCACTAGGAGACTCGACCAACCTGGCTTGGCTTCTGGCCGCCTAAGCCGCATCCCTGGGACAACCTGGACACGTCGGGTTCCTATCTGACCAAGCTCTGGGCCATCAGAAGAATGTACTGTTAGAATGTGCTGTCTGTTCTAGCCAGCGCCCGACCCTGGGCCTCTGACCCCTGCCCCTCCACCCTTTCTTAGCGCATTCATGGTTGTGGATCCTCCAGTCCCTCTGGGAGAGAGATGTATCTCCTGCAGCCCAGGGGCGGCTCTTAAAAACCCTTCTGAGATGAAATCAGGAAGGCTTGGGCCTGTGGCCCGGTCTCTGTGGCCTGGCCGCACTTGTGCCTGCCAACCTTTTGTGACTTTTCACTCCCAGCTCTGCTTGGGCCCTGTCCACCCCTCCCCTCTGCCTTCACCTTCCCGCCAAAATGCCCAGACCCCGCAGAGTTCTCATTTCCCTGTCAGTTGTTACAGGATAAAACGTGGTTTCACGGCTTTAACTGATGTCTGATGATGTTTATTTCTGACAAAACCTGCTCGCCCTGTGGTCCCCGCTCCTCCCTGCACTGAGGTGGGGTGAGAGCTTTGAGAGCAGCAGCATCCACACACAGTGGGCACAGACCCTGGGACAGCATCCCAAGCTCTCTCTCCTTGAATGGCTGCAAAGGCAGAAAGGGAGGGAGGGGTGGGAAGGCGGCCTGTTGGGAGGGGTCTGCCAGCCCTGGGCTGCAGACTCCCCAGAGTGGGGTGGTGGGGTCAGTGGACAGGGGGCTCCCCTGGACAGAGGCTGCCTCCCAGTTGTTCAGCAAGAACTCAGGGACAGACACACACACATCTCAGGTCTTCAGGCCACACCTTCCTCCTGATCTCCAAACCCAAGCAGCCAGCCACTTGCTGGGCATCTCCACAGGGAGACCAGGCTCACCAGGACACACAGAACACCCCAGGTCATCGCTTCTCCTCTGTGGCCTGTTGCTGACAGGTTCCAGCCACCAGGTCCTGGGCACCCCTCCGTCCACTGCTCACTGCAGGGTCCGCCCTGCTTCATCCCTCCTCCCACAGGCCTCGCTGGGTCCCTTGAGCTTCTAACTAGCCCTTCACCCATCCATGGGGCCCCATCCTCCCCACCACTCTCATCTGGGGCCCATTACACCCCGAGCAGAGATCATCCTAGAAGCCGAGTGGGGTCACATCCCACGACCCCCACCCTTTCACGGCTCCACATTCGCTTTGGATGAATCCAGGCTCCTCGCTCCTCCCAGTCCCTCCTCCACGCACCCCACCCCTAGCTTCCCAGCTGCTCCTCCTCCCGGAAGCTCCCCTCTCTGCTCACTCCATCAACCGCGGATGTTTAGGAACACTTAGGAAGGAGGCAGACCACGCTTCGCAAGTTGGGGACTGGCTTTATTGCAGAGCCCCAGGGGCCGTACACTCTCTGTAATCACAGCTGGGAGGTGGGCAAAGTTCCACTTGAACGAGTCTTCCATCTTCCTCCTCCTGCCAGGCCCAGTTCTGGGCAGAATCGGGAAGCCGTACTCACTCTCAGGTCTCAGGAAAACGTAGGCCTCGGTGTCCACACTCCAGGGCTGCAGCTCCACGCAGCTGCCACTCCCCTTTCCTGCCCCTCAAATCCACCCACCAAGGACACGGAAAGCGGGTGGGCAGGGGTGCGGCAGGCAGCAGACTTGGCCTCAACCAGGACTTTGCCCCCAGACAGGAATTTCCCCACCTTTCATTCATTAGTCACTAGACATGGCCATGAGACAGCACCCCCACTCCAAGGGGGCCGCAGAGCTCAGCACAGGAAGGGAGCGGGAAAGAGGCTGGAGCAACGTCAAAGGCAGGCCCCCATCCGAGCAACAGGCTGAGCCCAGAACCAAGAAACCCAGGGCAGGCATGCCACGCTCCACCACCGCACCAAACATGATGCCCGCTGAACAGAATGCCAATCAAATAAGTAGTCAATAAAGACAAGAGATGGCTTCCCCCTCCCTGGGGAGGCAACATGGCAGAGTGGAGTCAGGGGACTTGAATCAGCTCTGGGACTGCCAGGTCTCTGCCCCAACTCTGCTGGGGGAAGTGAGGGCATGGGCTGGGGCCCCAGGCCCCAATGGTCCAATGCCCACAAGCTCTGCCTCCAGTCCTCACCAGGCCAGGGGTTCCCCGGCCCACACCCGCAGACAGTCTTCAGGGCCCACCACGCTGCCCACACCTCACTCACACCTGTCTGTCTTCACCCTCCCTCCATCCAAAGGACCGAAGTGCAGCTTCGAGGGGCTCAGAAACCCTCCCCCCATGGGGAGTCTAGGCCTGGGTGGGGGAGGGGGGTGTGGAGCTGCTTCAGGCTGAGCCCCTGGAAAGCAAGGGAGCCCAATCCTGGACAGGGAGGCCCAGGTCGGGGAGGAAGCGGGGGAGAGGATATTCGGAGAAGATACTACTTCCTGAGCCCCTTTGGGTGACTCAGATGATAAAGGATTCTCAACATAGAGCTTTTCAATCTTGATCCAAATTACTATGGCGCTTTTTGTGTGTGAATGTTTTGTGTCAGCGTTTCCAGAAATCTCACATCGAAGGGCGTCAGAAAATTAAAGGAGAACTCCCAAGAGGGGCTTTCGCTACGGCCCCTCTTGCAGGTGACCCTCACGCGGGCAGACGCTCCGGGGTCACTGAGTCGGGCGGGGCAGGGCCCGGCCACCTCCCCAGGGCCTCTTCTCCAGCCTCGGAGCTTCTTGGCTCCGAGCCCTCCTCCCCAGGACACTGCAGCCGGCCCTGGCCTCCCCTTTGTCGTACAAGGCAGCCCGCACCCTCGTCAGCTCCCGGCCAGGACCTACGCGGGGAGGGGCGGGCAGAGGGAACCTGAGGGCTGGACACCTCCTGCTCTGGCTGGCTCTGAGCTCGGCCTTCCGAGCTGGGGAAGGCGGGACTTTCCAGAACCCTGCAGGCCTTGGGGGAGGGGGCCCAGAGGGACCGGACACAGCTGGGGGCGCGGAGGAGGGTGACGGTGACAAAAGGGTCATCGGGGACAGTGGAGCCACGGTCATCCGGACAGCGGGGGCACCTGAAAGCACATCACACGACAGGGTCACGGCCTCGCGGCGGAGACCCCACCCCCAGCCCCGCCCTGGGGAGCCCCTGCTCACCGCGACCCCTGAGCCCGCCCTCCCAACAGATTCCGCTGCCTCCTGGGGCGGGGTCTGCAAACCCACCAGCAAGGCTGGGCCCACGTGCTCCCCTCCAGGACCCTAATCTTCTGTCCGTGCTGCGTAGCACAGCGTGGGGGGAGCGGGGGAGCGCGGAGCCGATGCTCAGGGGTTTGTTCTTAATAAATGAACACCTGCGTCCACACGCAAAGTCCTGCAACCCTGCCTGACCTCGTCCTCCCCACCCCTGCCCGCCGGCCCGCCCGCCCAGCAGTACCTGGGGCCACGGAGGCGACGGTCACTCCCACAGGAAGCGCACGTACCAGATGGTCTCATTCTTCAGCTGGGGCCCAAACAGGGGGTTCAGCTGGGCCAAGATGGCGATGAGCCAGCTGCCAGGGACAGCACAGTGCGGGTGAGCGCGGGTGAGCCCGGGGCACCAGGAACTCCGCCGTGCACCACGCCATGACCCCCCAGCAGCGCATGGAGGGTCTGAGTTCCAGAGGGAAGGGTTCCTCGGAGACATCCACACTGCAGCCAGCTCAGTCCGGGAGCGTAGGTTTGGGTTTGGTTTGACTTGTTGTTTTGTAGATTTATAAAATCCCTGTGTTGGGGCTGGACTCGAGGGGATTAGAGAAGAAGTAAGACGGCCTCCAGGGGCACAGAGGGAAGCCATTCTGACTTAAGATGGCTTAACTGCCTGGAGAATCCCATGGACAGAGGAGCCTGGCGGGCTACAGTCCATGGGGTTGCAAGAGTCGGACACGACTGAGTGACTAAACCGCCACCACCAACTGCTCCTGAGAGAGGCCTCCCTCAAAACCTGAGCCTGGACTTATTCCTCAGTTTGGCAGCCAGGGAGATTTATGGAGCAGGCTGACATAGGAGGACTGGGGAGTGAGGGCGGGGTGTCTCTTTTGTAAAAGGGGAGGGGCTACCATGAAAGGCACTTAGAGAACACCTAGACCCTAAGGACCTGGAAATTGACTCCCTCACATGGTCCAGGCACTCGCATCTCTTGGTATGTGTTCTGAATTCCAGGACTTGGAATATAGAACAGTATTCTACACTTACTTACGTTTCCAAGTTTGAAGACCACTGCTCATCCAGTGGTTCTAAATGGTCAGCATCAAAGCACCCAGGGTCATGCATTAAAAATACAGATTCCTGGTGGGACTTCCCTGGTGGTCCAGTGGTTAAGAATTCACCTTCCAATGCTAGGGATGTGAGTTCAGTCCCTGGTTGGGGAACTAAGATCCCACATGTGGGGCAACTAAGCCCCTCGCACCACAATGAAAGACCCTGTGTGCTGCAACTAAGACTTGATGCAGACAAATAAATAAACTTTAAAAAAAAATACAGATTCCCACGTGCAGACTGTGAGAACTGTGATGTAGTGAGTCCAAGGTGGAACCCTGAAACCTGTGTTTTACGATCTCTCCAGGGGATTCTGTGCCCATCGGGTACAACAGGCACCAAGCGGGCCCCACTCACTCGTGTCACAGATGAGACAACCACAGCCCATGGACATGGCAGAGCTTGTCCAGATGATACATTCAGAACCAGAGCCCAGAGTTCACAACTCCAGCCCGTTGCTCTCTTTGCCACTCCAAATCCCTCCTCTTCTGCGGTTTACAGACTCAGCCTTTCAAGAGCTGAATGTGTCAGTACCAGGACAGAGGCAAGAGCAGGGCTGGGAGAGGAGGAAAGAAGGGAGGACAAGGGCCCTCGCGGACTAGGAGCTGGGAGAGCAGTACTTACAAGAGGTAACAGCAGACAGCAGTGGCCACCAGCATGGTGATGATCACTCTGCAACAGAAGAGGATGTCAGGTCAGGATGGATGGAAGCAGCACCCTCAGAAGGCCTGGCCAAGGCCAGAGAAAGAGCTCCTGGTGCCAACCCCTTTCCCTCAGGCCTTCTTGATGTCCCCTGAACACAAGAAGGCTGAGATCTACTTGGGTAAGAATTGCTAAATGGAAAAGAAAAACTCCAAGTGTCACCTCTTGGGGAGGCCAACCTCGACCACATCCAACTTACATTATGAATCTTTCCCTTCACCTATCTCCCTTCTCCATCACCCACTGTTTCTCCATCTTAGAGCAGTCGTGTTGGAGAAAGACACTGCACACAGCTGCACTTGCAGCCACCCACCATGGAGTGGTCTCTGGGATCCAAAATTCACTGGGCAAAGGGAAGGAAGGCAGAAGACCAGAAGACAGAGCAAGAAGCAAGGAGAACGAGGGTCATCTCTGAGGCAGAGTGAGCAGTTACAATGAGAATAGGGACTGGTTGCCCTGAGTCCACACCAAGACTGGAGACAGAGGCTTTAAATGCAGCAGGAGAGACTTCAGTTAGAAGAAAAAAACTCACCAAAGTGTGTACGAGAGTTGAGGGACTAAAACGGTTTACAAGGTGAGGCCATGGGACCTCAGCCCTGAGAATCTTGAAAAACAGAGGCAACACCCATATGCAGCCTTCAGCTGAAGCTAACCCTAACCCAAACCAGGTCCTATGACTTCTGCTCTAAAGCACTTGAGGTTGGTACCAGAGACATCAGCACCTGATCCATTCTCTCAGCATTACCAAGCACCATGGGCCAGTCCCAAGCTGGCCACTGGGGTCTACAGTGGTGAAAAGACAGTCTTCCACCTTGAGGAACTTGTCATGAAAGGGTGAGGGCCCGTCACTGCTGAAAAGACTATGAAGCAGAAACCAGTGAGTGGTGCAACAGGTATAGAAACCTGCTGGGGGCCCCCAAGAAATAATGACCCTGGCTGAAAATTATTCCATACAGTATGTGCCATGCACTAAGTTTTATATACATTATTCTGTGTAATCCTCAGTGCAGCCTTAAAAGGCAGGAGTCATCATCACCCCCAGTGACCCAATAAGAAAGTGAGGCTTGAAGGGGTGACGGACGCTCAAGGTCACAGCTGGGCAGGAGTGGACAAGCTGCATCAGTGGCTTGCCACAGACTTTACCTGCCAGGGCGCGGGCGGCAGGGGGCGGCGCGGGCGTAGCTGTCTCCTCCTTTCTACAGCACGACCTTCTCTGCCCTTTGGCCCCGACGGCCCGCCTGTTCCCGGCTGTACGCGGCCTAGCGCGGACCCGGGAGGAGGACTGGGGCGCCGCACGCCGGGACCAGTGCCCGCTGCACCGCTGCCGCCTCGCGCCGGAGGAGGGGTGGGCCCAGGCGCAGAGGGGTCCCCGGGTAGGCTGGGCCGCGCGCGATCCTTACCCGCGGTTGGGTCCTTTGGGCACGAACCAGGGCCCGGCGATGCCGATGAGGCCCCAGAACGTGGTGAAGATGACGACCGGGAGGGCGAAGGAGTGCGCCGTCATGGCCAGGCGCGGGATGCGGGTCAGAGCTGCGGATGCTCCGCTGGGTACCTGTCGCGGCGGGCAAGGGCCGCCGAGCATGCGCAGCAGGACCCGCCTTCCCGGGGGCTCGCGTTCGGCAGCCCGGCTCGCGCATGCGCGGCTGCTCGACACTCGAGGGGTGGGGTGGGGGGTGGTGGCAGACTTTGACTTGACCCGCCCCGCCGGTTTCCTACAGGATTTACGGGACAGAGGCATAAATGCGGAAAAGCTCTGCTTTATTCAGATAGCAAAAGGTTGAGAATCAAACATGGGTTTCTTAAACCGTATTTGTACATCTTTGAAACCAGAGAAGTGGACCTCAGCAGACAGACTCCTGGATGGAGGGAACAGGCCCATCATCACCGGGTCCTTAGGTACTTAGCACCCTAGGAAGTGAACCTGGGTTTGAGGGAAGCAAAAGGTCTGGAGGAGTAGACCATCCAAGTGTCACCTCTTGGGGAGGCCAACCTCGACCACATCCAACTTACATTATGAATCTTTCCCTTCACCTATCTCCCTTCTCCATCACCCACTGTTTCTCCATCTTAGAGCAGTCGTGTTGGAGAAAGACACTGCACACAGCTGCACTTGCAGCCACCCACCATGGAGTGGTCTCTGGGATCCAAAATTCACTGGGCAAAGGGAAGGAAGGCAGAAGACCAGAAGACAGAGCAAGAAGCAAGGAGAACGAGGGTCATCTCTGAGGCAGAGTGAGCAGTTACAATGAGAATAGGGACTGGTTGCCCTGAGTCCACACCAAGACTGGAGACAGAGGCTTTAAATGCAGCAGGAGAGACTTCAGTTAGAAGAAAAAAACTCACCAAAGTGTGTACGAGAGTTGAGGGACTAAAACGGTTTACAAGGTGAGGCCATGGGACCTCAGCCCTGAGAATCTTGAAAAACAGAGGCAACACCCATATGCAGCCTTCAGCTGAAGCTAACCCTAACCCAAACCAGGTCCTATGACTTCTGCTCTAAAGCACTTGAGGTTGGTACCAGAGACATCAGCACCTGATCCATTCTCTCAGCATTACCAAGCACCATGGGCCAGTCCCAAGCTGGCCACTGGGGTCTACAGTGGTGAAAAGACAGTCTTCCACCTTGAGGAACTTGTCATGAAAGGGTGAGGGCCCGTCACTGCTGAAAAGACTATGAAGCAGAAACCAGTGAGTGGTGCAACAGGTATAGAAACCTGCTGGGGGCCCCCAAGAAATAATGACCCTGGCTGAAAATTATTCCATACAGTATGTGCCATGCACTAAGTTTTATATACATTATTCTGTGTAATCCTCAGTGCAGCCTTAAAAGGCAGGAGTCATCATCACCCCCAGTGACCCAATAAGAAAGTGAGGCTTGAAGGGGTGACGGACGCTCAAGGTCACAGCTGGGCAGGAGTGGACAAGCTGCATCAGTGGCTTGCCACAGACTTTACCTGCCAGGGCGCGGGCGGCAGGGGGCGGCGAGGGCGTAGCTGTCTCCTCCTTTCTACAGCACGACCTTCTCTGCCCTTTGGCCCCGACGGCCCGCCTGTTCCCGGCTGTACGCGGCCTAGCGCGGACCCGGGAGGAGGACTGGGGCGCCGCACGCCGGGACCAGTGCCCGCTGCACCGCTGCCGCCTCGCGCCGGAGGAGGGGTGGGCCCAGGCGCAGAGGGGTCCCCGGGTAGGCTGGGCCGCGCGCGATCCTTACCCGCGGTTGGGTCCTTTGGGCACGAACCAGGGCCCGGCGATGCCGATGAGGCCCCAGAACGTGGTGAAGATGACGACCGGGAGGGCGAAGGAGTGCGCCGTCATGGCCAGGCGCGGGATGCGGGTCAGAGCTGCGGATGCTCCGCTGGGTACCTGTCGCGGCGGGCAAGGGCCGCCGAGCATGCGCAGCAGGACCCGCCTTCCCGGGGGCTCGCGTTCGGCAGCCCGGCTCGCGCATGCGCGGCTGCTCGACACTCGAGGGGTGGGGTGGGGGGTGGTGGCAGACTTTGACTTGACCCGCCCCGCCGGTTTCCTACAGGATTTACGGGACAGAGGCATAAATGCGGAAAAGCTCTGCTTTATTCAGATAGCAAAAGGTTGAGAATCGAACATGGTTTTCTTAAACCGTATTATGTACATGTTTGAAACCAGAGAAGTGGACCTCAGCAGACAGACTCCTGGATGGAGGGAACAGGCCCATCATCACCGGGTCCTTAGGTACTTAGCACCCTAGGAACTGAACCTGGGTTTGAGGGAAGCAAAAGGTCTGGAGGAGTAGACCTCCTCCCTGTCTGGCTAGGGCGGGGGCGGGATCCCCGCCTCCTGCCTGGTCTCTATGGCTATTGAACTCACGTTGTCGGTTACACTGCTGGTCACTGAGCTTGTCAGCCCTTTGGGCATCGCGATGGAGACCACAGGTGGGGAACGAGGGTGGAGGCAGGGGTAGGACTCTGGCCAAAGACAGAGAGCTCGCTCCTTCCAGTCCCAGCGCCCTTCAGCTTGTTTTCTCCAGGCAAAAGTCAGCAAGCTCTCCAACAGCGGGGTCTCCAGGCCCTGGGGCCTAAAGCTGCCAGACTCTTGAAACAAACGCAGAGGTCAGCCTGGGCAAGGGGGAGTCTCACCATGCTTCGGCCCCGCGGTCCTGCACAAAATGGTCAGCGTCCGCTCTTCCATGAGCTACCAAGAGGGGAGCCAGAGCACGGCTGTGCTCCTTGAGGAACCGGGCAGTGTAAACCCCCATGATAAACAGCATTTTCAGTAGCCCCCTGCTCAAGGGGCCCAAGTTTCTCACAGCTGGCACTGGAGGCTTTCTCAGAGCACAGGTGTGGAGGGGCAGGGGGTGTCTCGGGCGGGCCTCCGCCTCACATGGAGTTTGTGCAGTGGTGCTCGCAGGACTAATCTCTTGCTCTGAGGAGTCTTAAAGGATGAAAGCTGCCACGGAGAGGATGCTGCTGGAACGTCACTCAGTGGGAATCCCGACGGGTCAGGTGGGAGCTATAAAACCCCCACTTGAAAGGGCCCTTCTCTCTTCCATCCCACCAATTCATACCCTCGGCAACTGGCCGAGGGCAGACTCCTCAACTCCCTGGAGAGGCCCATGTGAATGGGGCGGGAGGTCTGGGCTCCATCTTGGCTGCATGGACAGTAACATGGCCAGAGTTCCAAGGGCCCACAGTACACCTCAGCCCCCAGGACACAGTGCTGGAAGGGAGACAGTGCCACAGGTTAAAAGGCAGGAAGTGAGAACAGAATTCTTGGCTCAAAGCTGAAAGAAACAGGAAAGTGATGGCGGTAAGGCAGAGTCAGGAACATTGGTTCTGCCCACGAGGCACTCGGTACCATCAGCTGCTCTCAGCACCCTTCCAGGGTCTGCTCAAGGGTCAGACTGCTTGGGCCTGAAGCACAGAGCAGGAACCCCACCTGGGGCCCGGCAGCAAGCCAGGATGGAGCACTACTTCCTGACCATCTAAAGCCAGAGAAAGACAGAAGCCTTCCCTACAAGCTCCCCTGGTTTCCCACCTGTGGGAAGGAAGGCAGGAGGCAGACACCACATCATCCTTGGCTAGACAAGCAGCCTAGGCCTCCCAAGGGCAGCTGCCCTGGAAGGAAACATGCCCTACTTCTGGGTGGAAGGGGAGACGACAAGAGGCAAGGGGAACCGAATCGTGTGAGACACCCTCTGTGCCGCCGGAGTGGTCTTCTCAGGCTTGAGTGAGCCCACGAAGTTCCTGGGGGGCCTGCGGGAAACAGTCCCGGGGACCTGATCAGGTGGGTTTGCATTGAAACATTTAAGCCAACACCCCTATTGATTCCCAGACCAGTCCCCAGAGCAGCTCTGGAAAGAATGGGCTAGACCATTATGCTGAGGGCACCTCCTCCCACAATAAGGATGTCGGTAGCAAAGGAGAGGGACAAGAGCTGATGACAGCCAAGTCCACCCTGCCTCCTGAGGCCCATCTCTGCCCGCGGAGGAGCTGTCAGCCAGCAGTCCCGCGGCAGCCGGGCACTAACAGGCACTTGGCTTCTCTGCTGCCGTTTCACAGAGAGGCATGCAAAGGCACAGGAGACAGGAAGGGGGCCATCATGGTCGACCCACTGCCTGCAGCAGAGCTGGGGCTGGATCCCAAATCCCCCAAGGTGAAACCTCGTCCTTACGCTCTGCTCCGCAGAAATCTAGGGCTCGGTATGACCTAGGGGCTGGACTGGTGGGAAGCGCTGGGCCCCTCCAGGGAGCCACTCCTCCCGTCCAGGAGCTGTTGGCTGCTCAGGGTGCAGGGGTTCTCTTGCTGCATCCTAGAGGCAGGCCCCGCGACGAGGCAGAGACAGCCTCTGAGGGGAGTCTCCTGTGTGAGGTCGAGGCCTCCCTGCTTCTGCCGTGCAGTGAGGGAGACACAGCCCGGAGCCAGGCCGGCCCCAGTCCTGCTCACCCTCTGCCCTCACCTCGTGCCTCCCTGCCCGCTCACTGTGCGCGGCCCCTGGATGCTCCCCAACTACCCAGGGGCAGGAGTGCTCCTTCAAGCCCCTTCCCCCAGCTGTCATTCCCACTTCAGAAAAGTCCTCTTGTCACCAGAAGCTGGGGATTTCATGATGGGATTACATGCTGAAGCACCTTGAACGTGAGCTTGAGATAGAACGTGTCTACATATTTAAGTGCTGGGAGGTCCCCTGGGCCCAGAGAAGGGCCCCAGGAAACAGGCCGTGGCTTCCAGACCCCCTGCCTCCATGGGGGTGTGGCTTTAACTGCCTTGTCGCTGCCCGCCTCCCAGTGCTTAGAGTCCCACCCAACGAAGACTCAGCAGCCTCGAATCCCAGGGCCTGTCACCATGATCACAGGGCCAGGGCAGTAAGGGGGCTCCAAGGAATGAACCCCTTGGATTCCTGCTCCTACAGGAGCGCTTTGGCAGGACAGCCTGGGGCCTCCTGGCCAGGGAGGGGACACAGGAGCCTCTCAGGAGGCTCCAGGACATCCACCGGGTCCCTGCAAGATGGGCTGGGCAGCTTCTGGGCGGCGGGCTCCTCCGTGCAGAACGTGCCAGTCTTCTTCCTGAGTCCCGCCCCTCATGTGGGAGGAAAGAGAAGGCACAGTGAGCCGGAGAGAACAGGTCAGGTGATAATCCATCCCCCCACATCCAGCTGCGCCTGAGGGAGGCTAGGTGCATAACCCCTGGCAGAACAGACAGGAGGCAGACGAGGACTGCTCTCCGGGGCTCAAGCAAGTCCCACTCTGCGGACTCTTCCACCCGAGGGCCGCGAAGCTCATGGGGCGATTCTGCCCCCAGGGGACCCTGGGCAGAGTCTGGAAGGGAGACGTTTCCAATTGCCACAACCAGGAAGGTGCTGTTGGGAACCAGCGGGTGTGTAGTGGGCAAGGCCAGAGTTGGCTGAGCGCAGGACGGGCCCCCACAACGAAGAACTCTCTGGCCCCGAATGTCCACAGTGCTGAGGCTGAGAAACTGCCTGGGGAGGAAGGCTTTGTTATATAAAATCTGGCTGGGTTCTCTGTTTGCTTCAGAGGTACAGTCCCATCGCCCTGTGATTACAACCTGCAGAAGGGCACGGCCAAAGCCATCTTCTCCTCCACCCCCAGGGGCCACGTTCAAAGAGTAACTCCTTCAACAGATGCTGGGTGAAGGACCTTACCTCAGAATCACCCTCTTTCCTTCTCTCCACTTCTACCACCCACCTCCCTGCACCCACGGCCCAGCTGCAGGCCCAGGGCCACCCTGCTTCCCACGGAGCCTCTGTTGACCCTGAGGCCAGTCCACTGCTGACAACAGAGACAGCATGAGAGTGGGAACAACAGGACGGAGACCCGTGCACAGCCTGGAGAAGCTCTGTTCTCTGTTCAGTGACTACCTGAAGAGAGGAAAATTTCTTAAGACTTTCAGTAACTCGGCCTCCAGGATAATATCACTTCCCCTCAAACCTAGTCCCGGCCCAGCCCTCCAGGCGAGTTGAGAGGCTCTCCTCATGGACCCCTCTCCTGCCTGACACCCCTAACCTTCTCCTCCACGCAGCACGGTCCTCACAGCCCCTCTGAGCTGCACTGACCTCTTCCTGCTGCAAACAGGGTCCCCACAGCCCAAGACAAGGTGGTGCCCCTGCCCTCACTCGTCCAGTCCTCGAGCTATTCCTGGTCATAATCTGAACCTTTAAAGAACACCATGGACATTACTCACCAGACACTGTTCCAAGCACTTTTGTTGTTGTTCAGTCACCAAGTTGTATACGACTCTTCACAACCCCGTGGACTGCAGCACGCTAGGCTTCCCTGTCCCTTACCATCTCCCAGTTATTAATTCACTTTAAAGATGAAAAACCAAAGTACAGAGATTAAGTTGCCCGAGGTCGCATGCTAGTTAGCAGCAGGACTAGAACTTGTACCTGGGCAGCCTTGCTCTGGAACTTCCCGCTCTAAGCGCTGGGCCCTGCGGCCTGCTGTGTGGGCGCCCAGCCTGTCTAGCTGAATGATAAAGGTGTCCTGTCCTGAGCACCCACCCATCTAGCAAAGAGTTGAGTACGTGACCCCTTAGAGCAAGCCTGTGGTGATGGCTGACTTGAGCGCACTCTACCAGGCTCTGAGCTCAGGGCGGGGCTGGGAAGCTGAGGTTCTGCTCTTTTGACATCCCTGCATCTAAGAGCTCTGCCGTGCATACTTACTTGTGTGGGAGCGGGGCGGCACTGGGGCACAGGTGTAGACGTGGCTAAACCGCCGGCCTGAGGAGGTCAGGTACCAGTGCTGGATGGCGGGCTGGGGGTCGTACTCTGTGACCGCCACACCGTTCACGGCCGTCATCATGAGCATGTTGATCACCTCGTTGGAGAGCTTGGTCCTCTCATCAGTCCTGATCCGGTTCATAGCACTGAATCCACGCTCACAGCAGGAGGTGGAGACGGGCACGCAGACCACCAGGGCCACGAGCCGGCTGAGCAGGGGGAAGCGGCGGTGCTGGACCAGTGCGTGCTTACACAGCATGGAGAACGGCAGGTTCTGGGCCATGGCCTTCAGGCCCAGCCACTCCTCCAGCAGCGCCTCCTCTCTGTATCCTGGGGGCAGTGAGAGCTCAAAATACCTGGCCAGGGCTAGGATGTCGTCATTCCCAAAACTGGCCAGGGCCACCCCACTCGGCCAGGCCTTGGTGTCAAACACCTCCATGCTCCTGAGCTGCGGGGCACGGTCGGCATCGAACCTCCGCTGGAGGTATTCGATCCCCGTCAGGACCACTCTCTCCCTGTCTGCCTGGAACCGCTGTTCTGCCGTCTCAGGCCTGTCCAGCACGATGCCATGGAGCCGCCCATCCCTGAAGCGGGCATTGAACTCTTCCTCTTTGGGGCCTGCCCGGTGGCGGAGGGTCTCCAGTGCCACATAGGCCCGCCCCAGCGTGGCGTTCACCTCGGTGATCAGCACCATCTCCTTCTGGCACACCTCAGACAGAGGCCGGTAGATGCTCAGGAAGTCCAAGAGGAAGTGGCAGAACTTGAGGAAATGGAAGCCTTGCATCAGCTTCAGCACGCCCTGGGCCCTGTGCCCAACCTGCCCCCCCGCGTCCGCCACGCTCTGGAGGTGCCTGGCCAGGGCGGGCCAGCTCAGGGTGAGTGCCCTCAGCGTGCGGCTCTCACTGGTCACCCACCTGACCGCATTCAGGTCCTTCAGGCGGACCATTTCCTGCTCCAGGGGAGCCGCGCCTTCCTGCAGCTCGTTCAGCCTCTTGTTCGAGGACTGGTAGAACTTGAAGACGGTTCGGATGTGCCGGTCACACTTCTTGACCAGGTCGATGGCCCCGCAGGCGTCGACCACGGCCAGTGGGAGCCGGTGGGCCACACAGTGCACCGGCAGCAGCCGGGGCAGGATCTCCTGCAGCTTCTCCACCAGGCCTCCCCCACAGCGCAGCGGGGCGGAGCCGTCGGTCCCCAGGCCCACCACCCAGCCCAGCTTCCGGAAGGGGATGTCCAGCTCGTCCAGGGCCGAGATGATGGTCTCAAAGTACCCGTCCGCCGTCTCGCTGTGGAGGGGGGCCAGCGTGAGGTAGGACTCCTTCGTCTCCGTCCCCTTCAGGTACCGGAGGTAGATGCCCACGCACGACTGGTCGGAGGCGTCCGTGACACTGTCCAGCAGCACGCTGACGCATGGGGAGTTGCGCACGTCCTCCAGGATCTCCCTCTTCAGAGTCTCAGAAATGTACTTGATGAACTGAGTGCAGGCGGTACGGTTTCGGTACTTACCCAGAAGCATGGTCCCCGTGCTCTGGAGGAGCTGCAGGATCTTCTCAAAGTCGTTCAGGGGCCTCGAGTGGTACGCGATTGAGTAGGCGGCGTGGAAAAAGTGCTCCATGTTGGCCATCAGGTCACTGGAGATCTCGGGGACCAGGGCGGCCTGCGGGGCATCCTCCCTGACTTCCATGGTGTTGACACAGAGCTTGTGTGCTTTGCTGACTTCGTGGTACTTTAAAGTCTCCACTTTGAAAGGGCCTGTGTAGCCGCGGACCAGCCGGGATGATCTGTCGTGGAGACTAGGCCTTTCTTTGCAAGCTGAGCAGAAGAGCTTGGTCTCTTTGGGGTCGATCACTAACCACGGGAACTGCCCAAACCACGACCTCTGAATGGAGCGGGGCCTGTAAGTCCTCTTGATTTTCGCCTGTCCATCTGCCTCCACTCCACAAAGGTGGGGCCTGCAGTAGGAGGTACATGTTTCCACAGAAGGAACTGGAAGCCACGTGGACTCTACAGCCGAGGCCTGTGTGTGCGCGTCTCTAACGGCCACTGTCTTCTTTTTCCCTTTGGGGCAAATCAGACTGTGCTTGGTTTTGCTGCCCAGGACTCTGCAGCCTCCTATCAGCTAAGACAACCCAATTCAGTAAGTACCCCTTAACCTAGGCAGAGGAGATGGATGGGCTCCACCATTTCTTTTAGAAATCAGAAAGTGAAAAGTGAAAGTCGCTCAGTCGTGTTGGACTCTTTGTGACCCCATGGACTATACAGTCCATGGAACTCTCCAGGCCAGAATACTGGAGTGGGTAGCCATTCCCTTCTCCAGGGGATCTTCCCAGGAGTGGCTTCTCTTGAAACCCTTTCCCATTATTTTCTCTGAAAGACAGTCTGGCTCCCCACGGGTTATGTGCTAATCCTCATGGTTGCTTCAGCCAGCCGCCCCTTCTCTACCCACACAGTTACCCTGGGATCACGTGACATCAGATGCTCATAAGCTTAATTAACCACCTTGGCTGTAGATGCTGTTGGATGGTCTTAATCCTCTTTCGAGGCACCATAAAGATATGAGGGTAAACATCCATAAGTCTTATTAGCCTGAGAAACAAAGGGGGCATAGAGGTATAGACAGTAGCTAGGGGCCAATAAGTTACTGACAGACATACGCAAAACTGCTGACTCCCACAGATCAGCAGTGTTGTTGCTAAACGCCAGAGGAGTGGAGGGAGGGAGGCGAGGCTCACGGCCTGTGGGTCACATGGCTCCTCGTGAACAGTGTCCACCACGTATCTCCCCCATCAGCTCTACCACACCATCCCGGTTTCACTTCCACTCATCAAAGCTCCTTACTTTTCCCAAATAGTCCCAGTTGCTCAGACTGTTTTATGCTCTGAAGGCAGGGTTAGTTTCGTATTCATGTTATTCTACCCAGGGCCTAACACAGGGCCCCATGCACAACAGAGTCACGTGCGTGTGGCTGAACTAACACTGTGTGACGTGCTATAGTGGCCTGGCCCCCGGACAGACCCATCAGCGCTCAGCAGGTCAAGACCCACCTGGAGGACGGCCTTTCCCCCACTTTGGCCCGTGTGGGTCCTTGATCCAGGGTGCAGCTCTCCGCTCCAGTTTTGAGATTAGGTCTGGTTTGGCAGCAGCAGGCCCTGTTTCGGGGACAAAGAGTCACAGTGACATCACGGCCCTGGACTACCAAGTCAAGCAACCCACCGGAAAGACCCGGGGAGGCCTCGGCTGTATTTCCTGATAAAATCTATTCAACTAGGGGCGCGATGAAAGCATACCTGTCTGGGGTGCTGATTCTTAAAACCCAAAAAGGCAGCCAGATTAGGGGCATCCCTTAGCTCCATTGGCCAGACATGGAAGCCATGAGTCCGCTAAACACATCTAGAGGGGAAAGGGTGAAAACAGGAAGAAATACAGAGGCCAGAAGTAAAGAAGACAGCGATGATAAAGTCACACAAGAGGTGGGAGAGGGTCACCAACAACTGTCCCATGCACATGCTTCTCAGCGACGCCCATGGCTGGCCTTGGTGCAGTGGCTACTCCATGGGGCACCTGAAAGGCCCCTAACGCTTGTCTACACTGGCAGTGGACCCTGAAATCCGACTCAAAGAGACTCATGTCTTTGGGTTAAGCACACATGAATATTCTTCAGGGATATGTGAAAAAAACTGCTTTCTCAATTTAAAATAAAATCCATTCATCTCCACTTACATGCTTTTTATGTATCAACGTGAATGGGTGTATAAACTTTTTTTGGAAAGACATATGCAAGCAACTGGTAACTGTGGGCACTTCTGTGGAGGGACTGAAGGACAAGGTAAAAGGGAGATTATTTTCACTATTCATCTTTGGATCATTGGGATATATTTATATGTTAGTGTGTGTGTGTGTACCCACATATTACTACTAATGAAAATATAATAAATTATTAATCTGTGGTAGACTGAACACATGTCCTTCTTCAAACATCTCTTAAATGAGGGCAAAGGAATAATAACAGTAAAAAGGAACATAAGCCCAAGAGAAACACTGCACTAGAAATGTTAATACATCTTTGGAAGGAGGGGAGGCCTCGGCTGTATTTCCTGATAAAATCTATTCAACTAGGGGCGCGATGAAAGCATACCTGTCTGGGGTGCTGATTCTTAAAACCCAAAAAGGCAGCCAGATTAGGGGCATCCCTTAGCTCCATTGGCCAGACATGGAAGCCATGAGTCCGCTAAACACATCTAGAGGGGAAAGGGTGAAAACAGGAAGAAATACAGAGGCCAGAAGTAAAGAAGACAGCGATGATAAAGTCACACAAGAGGTGGGAGAGGGTCACCAACAACTGTCCCATGCACATGCTTCTCAGCGACACCCGTGGCTGGCCTTGGTGCAGTGGCTACTCCACGGGGCACCTGAAAGGCCCCTAACGCTCGTCTACACTGGCAGTGGACCCTGAAATCCGACTCAAAGAGACTCATGTCTTTGGGTTAAGCACACATGAATATTCTTCAGGGATATGTGAAAAAAACTGCTTTCTCAATTTAAAATAAAATCCATTCATCTCCACTTACATGCTTTTTATGTATCAACGTGAATGGGTGTATAAACTTTTTTTGGAAAGACATATGCAAGCAACTGGTAACTGTGGGCACTTCTGTGGAGGGACTGAAGGACAAGGTAAAAGGGAGATTATTTTCACTATTCATCTTTGGATCATTGGGATATATTTATATGTTAGTGTGTGTGTGTGTACCCACATATTACTACTAATGAAAATATAATAAATTATTAATCTGTGGTAGACTGAACACATGTCCTTCTTCAAACATCTCTTAAATGAGGGCAAAGGAATAATAACAGTAAAAAGGAACATAAGCCCAAGAGAAACACTGCACTAGAAATGTTAATACATCTTTGGAAGGCAAGGAGATGGAAGAACTAACAGCTGAACACCAAACGCCAGCAGGGGGAGTAAGAGGCAGAAAGAAGTGGGGCTGACCTCAGAGTCCCCACAAAAGCCAGGACCTGGAGGCACCAGGTGCGGCAGAAGGTGGTGGGCAAGAAGAGACCCGTTCAAGCCCAGGTCCTCTCACCTATTCCAGGAAACCGGAAAATACCACCACCCTGCCTCAAGGAGGAGAAGAGAGATTAGTCCACAGAAGAACCTAACCAGAAAGGTTCTAGGCCCTGGGATGCTGGGGTGAGTGAAAGATGAAGGAGAGGCACTGCAATGCAAACAGATGAAGACAGCCTACAGACCAGAAGTTGTATTCCTGGGCTCCAGGAATGTAACTAAGAGGGTAACAGGCAGGAAGGCCAGGGGTCTCCAAATGGAGGAAATAGGCTGCAAGTGTCAGACATTTCTTCTCTCTCCCTTTAAGCGGCAGGAGGAAACAAACTACAAGGGTCAGATTTTTTTCCTTCTCTATACAAAATTAAAAGGAGGTCTCTCTTAAAATTCTGTGTTGCCATGACTACACCTGGTTCCACCTGAACTTAACTTTTCTCAAACCTTGAGCTAACCAATGTGTCTTTCTTATGGAAATATTTTTCTTACACTGTGTTAATGAAACTATATATTTGCTTTGGAATTTGCCTTTCTTCAAAATGGTTCCACCTAAGACTAACTTTTTTTCTTTTCCCAAACCTTGGGCTGATTTCATATCAATTGTTTTATGGCTGGGGGCCATCCTATCTCAAAAATGCATATTGTGGGAGAGGGGCCTGGTAAAACTCCCTCAGCCTTGAGGTGTCTCGATTATCTGATTAATAGCTTTCTAACAGACATGAAACAGCTTGCAAAAGACTAGCAGGTGGGCACTCTTTCTGCCCCCTTCTGATGTCTATGTCAGAAGCTTTCTCTATCTCTTTTATACTTTAATAAAACTTTATGACACAAAAGCTCTGAGCGATCAAGCCTTGTCACTGGCCCTGGATTGCATTCCTCTCCTCCGGAGGCCAAGAATCCAGCATCTTTCACGACTTAGCAACAACCTTTCATAACCTACCCCTTGAGTCCCAGCCATGCACACAGAGATTCCAGTCAGTTTTTAAGGCTTTATTCTTAAATATGAATGAACCTAAAGATATTTATCCAAGAGAAACTGTGAACATGAAACAAGAAGGAAAAAGAATGGAAGGAACTAGCGATAGAAGCAAAACAATTTCAATCCCTCCCCTAAAAAGGAGAATATTCCCACCAAGAAAAGTCATGATAGTTATCCATGAAAAGAGCAATTAAAAAAAAAAAAAGAAAAGAGCAATAAAGACTCTAAGATTAAAAATATGATAGAATAAATTTTTAAAAATTAAATAGACTTGTTAGAAAATAAAATGGAGGAAATCTCTAGGAAAGTAAAACAAAAAATACAGAAGCAGAAAACAGGAGAAAAAGTAAAAAATAAAACAAAACCAGGGACTCAATTTAGAAAGTCTAATATCTAACTAATAGGACTCAGAAGAAAGAAAAGAGAAAGTAGGAAGAAATAATACAAAAATGTTTCCTCAAACTGGAAAGTGTGTTTCCACATGGAAGGGAAGCACCAGATACCTAGAATAAAAGATGAAAAAACATTTCTATCATTAAGCACTAAGTACTTCAAACCACTGGGATAGATCTTAAATCCTTTAAGAGTGGAAAAACAGGTTGTGTTCAAAGATTTAGGAATAAAAATGTAATTAGACTTCTCAACAGGACCTGTAAAACCTAAAAGCAGTGCTTTCAAAATGCTGAAGATAATAATCTCCAACCTGGAACTCTATACCCAAAACAAGTTATCAATTGTGAGAGCAGAGTAAGGGCATTTTTAGATATATACTCTTTAAAATATTTCCTCCCATGAACCCTTTCTTAGAAAGTTACTGAAGGATGTGCTCCAACAAAATGAAGACGTAAACCTAAAAGAAACAATAAATCTGGGAAATAGGAGAGAGACAAAACAAAGTCCAAGGCCACAGATATGCAGCAGGCCTAAAGAATAACTAGCTTAGGCAGAGGAGAGGCATGGAAGACTCAGTGATAGTCATCTCCAGAAAAAAAGTGAGATAACTCACAGGATGTTCGATCATGTGGAAGAAACTCTTTGAGGAGTTGTGTAATTCCATGGAGAACTTGAGAAGAAGTGGTGATAGCACAGAAAACTGACAAAATAAAAAATAAAAAATTTCAATTCCTGGGGGTGAAAAAATCCTACAACAGTGGAAACATCATCATATGTCACTTTGATGAAAAGTAAATAATACATAATCATTACTGGGCAAATAAGTCACATTGAATTAACCAAAAAAGTATGATATACCTGTTCTGAGAGGATGGAAGGAAGAGAAGTAGGGGTCTGGGGTGATGTAAGAGGGCCATATCTTCATCGTCCACAGTAGGAATCAATAGATAATATCTAAAATCAATAAATCAGGAATAGCAATAAACACATGCAACAGGATATTAAAGTGTGGTTCTGTCTGCCTGTTTTAAAGGCCCCTTCAAAATAGGAGCCAACTCTTTCCCCATTCCAAAGCTAGACCACCGAAGCCTGACTTGGAAAGAGTGGCTGAAACACTGGGCTGTAACCCAAAGCTTTGCCACTAAGAGGGAGTCAGAACACTGGACGTGAAGAGGTCAGGGAGTTGGATATTAGAGACGCTTCCGGAAAGAGCTGTTAGGTACTGTGAGTCCCCCACACTACCATGGAGAAGGGTAGAGTGGAGAGGGCTTCTTTCCTCTGCCTAATGGGAATGACAGATGACCTGCAGTTCCTGGAGTTCTGGGACTACTCAGGAGCCCGGGCCTAGAAACGACTGAAGGCATAAACTGACCCATGGGCCTAGCGGCACCGAGGCAGGTGGAATCTTAAGATCCCTGACCAGGCATCGAACCTGCATCTGTTAAATTGGAAGGTGGATTCTTAACCACTAGACCTGTCTCTCTGAATTTGACCATTCTAAGTACTTTTTCAGTTTATTGTAAATAGAATCATAGTTTTTGTCATTTTTGTGACTGGCTTATCTCACCTAGCATAATGTCCTCAAGGTTCATCCATGTTTTGACATGTGTCAGAATTTCCTTCCTTTTCAAGACTGAATGATATTCTATTATATGTATAGATTACATTTGCTCATTCATTCATCCATCCATGGATATTTGGGTTCCTTCCAC